AGGCTTCATCACTGAACAGATATCAACAGATTAATTAGATTCTACTGTGAAAACTTTACCTTTATATCAAAGTGTGGAAACTACAGGGATTCTACTGTGTAATCTCAACCTTTGTGTCAAAGTGTCAAAACTAAAAGGATTCTACTGTAAAATCTCTACCTTAGTGTCAAAACTAAAAGGATTCTACTGTAAAATCTCTACCTTTGTGTCAAAACTAAAAGGATTCTACTGTAAAATCTCTACCTTTGTGTCAAAGTGTCAAAACTGAAGGGATTCTACTGTAAAATCTCTACCTTTGTGTCAAAGTGTCAAAACTGAAGGGATTCTACTGTAAAATCTCTACCTTTGTGTCAAAGTGTCAAAACTAAAAGGATTCTACTGTAAAATCTCTACCTTTGTGTCAAAGTGTCAAAACTGAAGGGATTCTACTGTAAAATCTCTACCTTTGTGTCAAAGTGTCAAAACTGAAGGGATTCTACTGTAAAATCTCTACCTTTGTGTCAAAGTGTCAAAACTGAAGGGATTCTACTGTGAAATATCTACCTTTATATCAAAGTGTCAAAACTAAAAGGATTCTACTGTAAAATCTCTACCTTTGTGTCAAAACTAAAAGGATTCTACTGTAAAATCTCTACCTTTGTGTCAAAACTAAAACAAAAACAAAAAAACATTGAACTCCTATACAAGGTACTCATCCAACTTTGTACTATGCTGTATTTATATCAAAGACTGATAGAGAAGATTAAGGAGAAGATTGCACAGCAGTTATTGATCCTTTGAACAGAAAAACTACAGATCCAGAAATAACCTAGGAAGAAATCCACATAAATGATCTACTAACATTAAATAAAAACATCATACAAACACTTTATTCCATTAGGAATCCATCTCCAGGAGACAGAACACTTTTTGAAAAATTTCCACCAGACATTGGACCTCATTTTCTTCATATTATACAAACTGTCATTTCCTATGGGACATGAATACATGTATATACATGGGTCATTACCAAACTGGATCTTCAACTTTTCATTTTGGAATTATTGTTAAGAATAATTTTCATTCTGTTATCCTTTTTTTCACTTCTCTTCAATTTAAAATAGAAAATATTCCACTATCCTCCCAAACTGCATAGGTGCATCCCAACTTTTTGCAGGTATTGTCTTTTCCCTAGGTAGGGAAAAAACAGGTGGCAAATGCTATAATGCTATACACAATGGGGTAGCATCATTATTTTAGATCATGTAACCATACAAATAAATAGCATCATCAATAGTTTGATCCACATTTCATGGAATGTTAATGATGCAGTGATGAATAAGTTCTCAACTTACAATTCAGTACTTTTTGTACTAACATGGGTTGTTCTGTGGATTGGAATATCTCAAGATAAGTGTTAATGGCTGGTCTCGTACTGACCAACCAACTCTTAGTTCTTCTGCTTGAGGTTGTGATATCTCTGTCCACAGACCAATCCGTTTAAGATTCAATTGATCTTAACCAAATTCATCAACAAACTCAAGTGAACCCCATCAATCCTTCTTCAATACATTGTCCTCCTACACAGGTCCCAAACATTATCTCCTGTTACAATGTATCTCACACTCAATTTTAAATCTTCCATGCAATTAGGCTCAAATATTCAAAACAACACTGCAATGATAATCTCTATAATACAATTTTAGTCTACAGATAACTTAGTACAACAGAAAATGAACAATGTTATCAATTTGTTGTGGTGTTGTCCATATATCTTGAATAAAAATCAATGACAATACTACTAACAAGCGTTGTCTGAGATATACACTATTTAAAGAGAAATCATGAACATCATTCCTTAATGTTTTGTGGATTTCCGGAAGTTTACATCTTGTGTAAATCCTGAAATCTGGCAATCATACTGGCATTTTAACTCAATGAAAAATTTCTTTATACTACCATAGCAATAGGCAATGATATAGAAGACCAACCATTTACGTCATGAGTTTCAGCAATGATGAGTATATCTGGTCTATTTATCAGTAATTTTTATTATAATTCAGACCAACATATTTTGTCTAGCATGAATGACAGTCTTGTGTTCCTTGCCTGTTGTCTCACTGTATCTTATTTTCTTGTTGGTGTTGATCATCAGTGTTTACCCATACTGATCACAAATGAACATTGATGGGGCAAATCTCCTTTACTGGAGGCCAAAATCTCTTTAAAGTAATCAATTATCTCCCTTATTGGTCTCAGAAAAATATCACATATACATTTCAATCTAAATGATTATGACAATTTGATACCATTTGATATAAAATGGCAGAAGTACCTTATCCAAGGGTCATTGTCTGATTCTTTTGATTCCTTTACAGACAGCACAGCATCAAAACCTAGCATTCCAAAGAAGCAGACATGTTGTCTGTGTTGACAAAAGCTGAGGCATGATAACGAGACCGTCTTAGAAAACATCTTCTATTAATAATGTTATGGTTTCACATCTTCAAACCTGAAGAGCAATGACATTTGGTAAAGAAAAATACAAATTTCCACCTTAACATGCATTTTTTTTTCTTAATCTAGACCAATGGTCACCTTGACCCTTGATCTTCTAACTTGTAAAAGTAATCATAAATAAGCATATCAGGAAGCAACATCAAAAGTTTAAGGGATCTGTAGGAAGTAATGTCATACTTGTTGGATGATGATACAGATCAGTGTTAGACATTGCTGACAAAATGATCACTACAGTTCTCCTTTTCAGGCAAAGGAATAATGGAGCACTTATGTTGTTCCAATCACTAGGGTTATAAAATGTTCTTGTATAATTCACTATGCAGTCCTTAAATATACTGAAGATAATTAGAACCATCTAAGGAATGACTGGAACCAACAAATTACTTTTGTGTCAATGAGGCTTATATTGCATGGACAAAGCTGAGATCTGAAACCCTGAACATCTCAAACTATCAAGAGACTGAAGTGTCAAAAATTATAGAATTGGGCAAAGCTGACAAGATCTGAAGCCATGAAGATCTTGAATCACCTAGGGACCATTATATTGGTGAAACTGGAACAAAATTCCATGAACATAATAGAAATCATTTTGTGGTTTTAGAGGTTACCCATTGAGAGGTGCTATAGAAGGGAGGGAAGAGCTTAAACCACATCAGGACTGTTCTGCCTGCTAGGTTAACAGCTGACAATGGGGACTCACAGCCATAAACCACTTGTACATATATTTCCTTCCATTTTCTATCAGCAAAATAATAAATCTTCATGTTTTACTATTTAAACTAAATAAATTTGAATTCATCTCAGTGTGAGAGATGTTGATGCAATAGTATCAGAATTAACATCAGAGGGGATATAACTCCCAAGAAACAAGTAGCACACAAGCATATGAATCACCAATGATTTGGAGGATGCTATACATACGTAAAATAGGTTTGCCTAGCAATTACTGTTTTATACATATGACTCAATTCCTGCAGTCAAACTTTTCCTTACAGACAACGAAAGACAAAATATACATTTAAAATCCTGGTTTGGATACTCATTTGCTAAGTAAGCCAATGTGATGTCACTTTTTAACTTTAAGACACCAATTTGTTGAATATGCCAAGATGAGATTTGGAAATGTGATTTCTCACCTGGTGATTAATAATACATTTCAATCAGTACCCACTGAAATTGATTAATTTACTACTTTTTGTGTGCTTCGTTAATCATGATGAGATAATCTTCCAAGACTTTGAAGCATTATCCCAAGTGTTGACGAAGAAAAGATTGAGTTCTTAAGAGTTAGAGATGTAACATCTCTCTGATGCTTAGTAGTTTACTTCTATGATGAAAATCAATATTTGTTTCCAAGCAAGGTTTTACTGTATGTTGTAAACCTAGTATATGATCTGGTTAAAAAGGACTCAGGAAACTGCAACTCAACAAATAATGACCATTATAGACGATATGCTAATGGTTTAAACCCTTGTAGAAGCTGATGACAACCTAACTGAACAACATATAGGAGGCCCATTACATGCCATCTAGCTCTAAACGAATGAGCTATCGTGGTCCCTTGACTTGAAGCCTATTAACCAAATGTGGTGATCTATTTGTTTTATCTAATTTCCCCCCATCCCAAATATACTGTGCATATATGTATATGTTTATATGGTTAATTTACTGAAAATATAGTTTAATTAACTACTTAACAGTGTTACAACTAGCAAAAATGATACGTGAATCCTTATTAATAAATCATAATCTTGGGAAAGGGGGATGTTCACAACCGGATGAAATCTTCTCGTTTACTCCTGTCAACGAGATGACATTTACACTGACATTTCCACACAGTTATCTTAATAGCACAAGCTGGCCAAGGTGTCAAGTGAGAGAAAAGGTGAAAAACTTACCATCGTGCCGGTATGGCCGGTGATCTCTTAGGTTTAGATGTATTGTTTTCGTTTAGCCAGCAGGTCTACTGCTATACTGATAAACTAGAGTCCAATTGTACAGTAAAACACTATATTAATTGATTTTGAAATCAATTTTAAATAAAAGATGTGAAAATACTTAGTAAACTCTATAAAATCTGCTTTCAATATTTTTCTTAATTGATTGAGATTAAACGCTTTAGTAAAGTATATTATCTAAATAATGCTGTGGGTTATCACGAATAGAAAACACATCGCACTTTCCGGCGTCATCATGTTGTCAAGGGAAATGAATTTTATTTATAAATTATTAATTGACATAATGTAAAACTTCTTTGGTAAATGGCATTATTTATATATCTTCAAACATATAAAAGGTATCAGGATTAGTTTTCAGATTTTTTTAGACGCAATATCCAAAAGAATAAAAATATTACACTATTCGAGCAAGTGTTCAAAGGGAGACAAACCTCGCAAAACGAAAGTAGCGGAAATGCGAACTTTTTGTTTTCATCTGGTATGCGCATGTCAAGAAAAGCAGTAGCTTTGTTTATGACAGGTAGAGGTACCGTGGGAGCATTATAGCATGCTGTTTTAACGGTCGGGCAGTCTATGAATTATTGATGATCTGTCTCATACACAAAGAGGTTTGTATTTATGATGAGGTCAAGTTGATCATGAAAATATTATCTACTATTTGGTTATCGATACCACATCATTAGGATATTTTGATGGGTTTCGTCAAACTGCCTGTTGATCTATCACAACACTGCGGTAGGACGAAAATTCCTAATTTGCGAAGCATTGTAGATGTTTGCGCTTGGCGTTGGTATTGTTTTGTTTTGATTTAATCATATTAAAACTAGTTATTTTGCATAGGTCTAACGTTTATTATCTGAACGTATTCAGTATATTATATTATCTATGAATTACCAACATATATTTTACATTTCTTCACAGGGTCTAAAATTCGTGTCTTTGATTAACATTTCTGATTAGCTTAAACTTCCAACTATTAATAACTGAATGAAGAAGACTAATAAAATTTGTTCTTACTAATGTACAGGTAGATCTAAAAAGATTAAGAAAATACAAAAAAATTTTGTCTTCCACACTGCTTTCCAACCTCTTTGGTGTATCAGAATAATTAGCACTCTAAATATCCTAGGATATATTGAAGTCAAAAAGTTCAGTTTCTTGATTTCATGTTTAGTGCATCATTCACATCATGAGATTCAGATCTATTGAACAAGTGCCAGCTGTTCAGAAATTCATTTCAGAAATGGTATACAGCAAAGCAAGGTCCTCTGGTAAACTCCCTTACTTTTAGGAAAGATTACCATGATATCATAAGCACACTTATTCACTATTGCTGGATTTGTAAAAACAGTACAAATATTCTGCATAGGCCATTATACATATGGCAAACAAGGGAGATAATTTGATAGTGCCAGTTAATGTCCAGTTTATCTCGTGATATCACAGTTTTGGTAGATATGTAATTGTTTTTATCAGAGATGTGTAGAACCTTGTCTCTTGTCTGACATTTGAAACCAAATTAAATGTTAGGCCTAAAATGATTTTTCCTAAGGGACGTAAAATGCAATCTATTTCTGGACCATATCTCAGGTTTCCAATAACACATGTACAACTGACGTTATATTATGGCCTACCCATAAGTTATTTGACAATTTTCAAGGAAGGGCTATCAAAGTCAAGAATCTTTCTAACTATCCTTAATAAAAACTATTTACACAATAAAAAGAACTTCCTTCTGACCAGCCCTTTTTCTTCTGGCAGATTTGTTTGGAACACATGTATTTTTTAGGCATTTTATAATTAAATGTAAGCCAGGTTTCCTTACAAAAAGATCATGCCACAAAAGGAAACTAAAACAAAGCAGATTGTTTTTACCCGGCAAGTTGATCTACATATATACCTCTCTCAATAAAGTGGAAAGGTTATTACAATCCACTTATCCAGACTACCATTCAGTTGTGCACTCACAATGTAAACTTTATAGACATTGAATTATATCCTGCCCAATAAAGGTCCTTTCTATTTCCAATGTTGACATACAAAATGATTATGTTACAGAGTGCCTAGGCCTAAAAGAGTAACATATAAGTGGTGAAGTGACACAATGGCGGGAGGAGTGTTCCACGTGGAGTTTGGAATCAATGAGACCAACTTGACACGAGCATTAGAACAGGGAAACTTTGTGACTGCAGAAAAACTCATCAGAGATACTAATAACCCATCTTTTTTAGATGAAGGTAAAATTATATATAAACATGGATCTGGCTACCAGTGTTCTAGTACTAGAGTGTCTCAAAATTATAGTTGCATTCTTATCAAGATTTAAAACATTTGATTGCTTTTGAAAAATGAAAAAATAGTTCTTTGAAATGTGGATTGTGTAATATTAACCTATTTGAATGCTGGAAGAAAAGTTTTTCTTTTTCCATTTAGAATTTTTAGTCCCATATATACTATATTTTCATAACCACATTTAAAGTTGACAGTCTCATTTACTTCAATAAATATTGTAAACAATCTTTTTCTCTTGGATAGGCCAATTATTTTCTGTCTTAAATTACTGAATGTTTCATAAAGTTTTCCAGATGATAAAGAAAGGTTAATATCCTGTTGTATATCACAACTTTTAAGTAACGTTAATATCTTTCAGGTTGTTACCAGAGGACGCCCTTGTTTATCTGTCTGTGTGGTATGGATGAAGAAGAGAAGAGAGTGCGACCAAGAAACCTTTACCTGGCAAAACTAATGATAGAGCATGGAGCAAATGTCAATTTTAGAGTTCCCACTGTAAGTTCACACTGTTGTAGGAATGGAATGAATTGATAATCTTTCCAATCTCAAAAGGGCATGTTAAGATTTATAATTTCAGTATTCAGGGTAAGATTTTTCACTGTAGCATCTGTTTTGATGAAATTTTGGTTTAGGATTTTGAAATTTAAGTCAGTAAATCCTGTTACTTATTGCAGTATTTTGTTACCATACCCAACATCACGAGTATGTCTCTCATTGACAGGTTGTAGAATGGCTTTTCTGTCTGTCTGAATGAATGAATTGAGTGAATGAAAGAATGGATCGTCAATCTCTCAATCTTTTTATCTTAGAAAACCTTGTGAATATGATCAGAAACAAAATATTTCAGACATGTTAGAATTTATCAAAGTGAACTCCCTAAGGCTGAAAGAAAACTAGTAACAGAGGTCAAATCTCTTAAGGTGTAAGGTCAGATCAAAATCTTATTATTCATTCTGAATGCCAATGTGCAAAAATGTTGTTATAGCTCCAGTGCTTCTAATGAGAATAAATGACTTCATTTATTTTCATTTCTAATGACTGGTCACATTATGAATTATTAGTAATGAATTTTAGTATAAATGGATGGCACTTACACTTTTAACAAATATTCATGGTCACAATATTACAGGAATTCAATTTATTTTTTCAGACTTATTTTGGTTCTGAATTTGAAAGTCCTGGTCTCAGTCCATTAGAACTGCTCACAGATTTCTACAACGACCTCACAAAACACAGACACCACTATGGAAATGAACCATGGTAAGTTGAGAGTAACATATACAGATTATCTTACATTAATCCATTTAATCCTAGTCTCCACTGGTCTGGTTGTCTAGGGTAACTAATAGGACTATTTAAAACCAAGTCATAGATAAATACTAGGTTTATATACATTTATACATTGTATAAAAAATCACTATGGTATGGTTACAGGATATTTAGATAGAATGTATGATGGAGTTGTAATAGATGAGTTAATAGTAACCAATACATCTTCTAACAATCTTTGTGTCTAGGAAACCTAATCGTGATGTTCAAAGTTCTACTGTCAACATTACTTGTGATTAAAGAGAAACTTTTATCCATCCAATCCATTCAATTTATGTTTTGATTTGTGATACAAACTAAATCTGATTTTGAGTCAGTATGACGATGATTTCACTGTGATTTCCTCTAATCGTGACCTTGCTATGTAGGACGACCTATCATTGTGGCTGGGATCCTCACATTGATGTGGTGGTAGGCCTTAACAAACAGTACCTTACCACACTGGAGGAGGTCATAGAACATGTGGAGGATATCATGTTTGTAATCCTCAGTAAGTATGACTCAACACAGTACAGCTAGTGGGCTACAGATCAATGCTTGTAGGTACAAATACTGTATAGGTCAGGAGACCAAGCTGTACAAGAATAAGTTATCATATCTGTATATTGTATAAAGACAGCATGATAAAAATGACACTCTCCAAATGACACTTAAATTTGAAGCTGTATAAGATAATTTAAAATTTACCTTCAGTAAAAATATGTGATGGATCAGATATTTAATTTCATATTTATGACAGAATGTTTTCATAAAAAATGTTTAAATCAATATTGTGGATATAGAATATGATAATTTTATAACATGTACACTCATTCCTTTTGATATAAAAATATAAGAATATATTTCTTAATCTAAACAGATCTGGACCATTGTAATTATTCTAAATGTCTTCAATTCTGTATTTTGACAAGATCTTATAACATTATAGTTTTGAATTTAAATGTTTCAATGGGTAACTTAGAGAACTAGAGGACTCACCAGTTAAGTATATAAGGACATTGATATAAAGGCTGCAGTTCTTTAGTATGAAGTAAAATACATGTATATATTGAAATACTTCAGTTCTTAAATTTTACAAATTTATCTGCAATGTTTTGTCCTTTCTGTCTTTACAGCCCACGGTGGAGATGCAAACGTTGCTGATCTTTCCAAGTTAACACCTCTACACAAAACATCAATATTTAGCTATGACAATCGCCTGCTGAAACTCCTGGTAGAAAATGGGGGTAACCTGAATGCCCTGGATACAGAGGGCAGTTCTCCTCTCCTGGTCATGTGTGACATCTCCGTGTCTGATATGTATGACTACCTGGAGGACCTGTCACCGACCAGCGACGACTAGATGGTACATTGGGTATTGATAAGGATGGGGTGGTCAGATGGTACGTTTAGTATTAATAAGGATGGGGTGGTCAGATGGTACATTGGGTATGAATAAGGATGGGTTGGTCAGTTGGTATTGGGTAAACATTGGGTTTAATAAGGAGATGGGGTGGTCAGATGGTTTTTGGGTATTGATAAGGATACATTGGGTGATAAGGATGGGGTAGATGGTACATTGGGTATAAGGATGGGGTGGTCAGATGGTGAATAAGGATGGGGTGGTCAGATGGTACATTGGGTATTGATAAGGATGGGGTGGTTAGATGGTACATTGGGTATGAATAAGGATGGGGTGGTCAGATGGTACATTGGGTATTGATAAGGATGGGGTGGTCAGATGGTACATTGGGTATGAATAAGGATGGGGTGGTTAGATGGTACATTGGGTATTGATAAGGATGGGGTGGTCAGATGGTACATTGGGTATTGATAAGGATGGGGTGGTCAGATGGTACATTGGGTATGAATAAGGATGGGGTGGTCATTTGGTACGTTGGGTATGAATAAAGATGGGGTGGTCAGATGGTACATTGGGTATGAATAAGGATGGGGTGGTTAGATGGTACATTGTGTTTTATTAAGTATGTTGGTCAGATGGTACATTGGGTATGAATAAGGATGGGGTGGTCAGATGGTACATTGGGTATGAATAAGGATGGGTTGGTCAGTTGGTACGTTTAGTATTAATAAGGATGGGGTGGTCAGATGGTACATTGGGTATTAATAAGGATGGGGTGGTTAGATGGTACATTGGGTATTGATAAGGATGGGGTGGTCAGATGGTACATTGGGTATGAATAAGGATGGGTTGGTCAGTTGGTACGTTTAGTATTAATAAGGATGGGGTGGTTAGATAGTACATTGGATATGAATAAGGATGGGTTGGTCAGTTGGTACGTTTAGTATTAATAAGGATGGGGTGGTTAGATGGTACATTGGGTATTGATAAGGATGGGGTGGTTAGATGGTACATTGGGTATGAATAAGGATGGGGTGGTTAGATGGTACATTGGGTATGAATAAGGATGGGGTGGTTAGATGGTACATTGGGTATTGATAAGGATGGGGTGGTCAGATGGTACATTGGGTATGAATAAGGATGGGGTGGTCAGATGGTACATTGGGTATGAATAAGGATGGGGTGGTCAGATGGTACATTGGGTATTGATAAGGATGGGGTGGTTAGATGGTACATTGGGTATGAATAAGGATGGGGTGGTTAGATGGTACATTGGGTATGAATAAGGATGGGGTGGTTAGATGGTACATTGGGTATGAATAAGGATGGGGTGGTCAGATGGTACATTGGGTATGAATAAGGATAAGGATGGGGTGGTACATTGGGTATGAATTGGTACATTGGTACATTGGGTATTAATAAGGATGGGGTGGTTAGATGGTACATTGGGTATTGAATAAGGATGGGGTGGTGGTCAGATGGTACATTGGGTATGAATAAGGATGGGGTTGTACATTGGGTATGAATAAGGAATGGTACATTGGGTATGAATAAGGATGGGTTGGTCAGTTGGTACATTTAGTATTGATAAGGATGGGGTGGTCAGATGGTACATTGGGTATGAATAAGGATGGGTTGGTCAGTTGGTGTGTTTTGTATGAATAAGGATGGGGTTTAGATGGTACATTGGGTATGGATAAGGATGGGGTGGTTAGTTGGTACATTGGGTATGAATAAGGATGGGGTGGTCAGATGGTACATTGGGTATGAATAAGGATGGGGTGGTCAGATGGTACATTCGGTATTAATAAGGATGGGGTGGTTAGATGGTACATTGGGTATTGATAAAGATGGGGTGGTCAGATGGTACATTCACTATTAATAAGGATGGGGTGATCAGATGGTACATTGGGTATTGATAAGGATGGGGTGGTCAGATGGTACATTGGGTATTGATAAGGATGGGGTGGTCAGATGGTACATTGGGTATGAATAAGGATGGGGTGGTCAGATGGTACATTCGGTATTGATAAGGATGGGGTGGTCAGATGGTACATTGGGTATGAATAAGGATGGGGTGGTTAGATGGTACATTGGGTATTGATAAGGATGGGGTGGTCAGATGGTACATTGGGTATTGATAAGGATGGGGTGGTTAGATGGTACATTGGGTATTGATAAGGATGGGGTGGTCAGATGGTACATTGGGTATGAATAAGGATAAGGATGGGGTGGTCAGTTGGTACATTGGGTATGAATAAGGATAAGGATGGGGTGGTTAGATGGTACATTGGGTATTGATAAGGATGGGGTGGTTAGATGGTACATTGGGTATGAATAAGGATGGGGTGGTTAGATGGTACATTGGGTATGAATAAGGATGGGGTGGTTAGATGGTACATTGGGTATGAATAAGGATGGGGTGGTCAGATGGTACATTGGGTATTGATAAGGATGGGGTGGTCAGATGGTACATTGGGTATGAATAAGGATGGGTTGGTCAGTTGGTACATTTAGTATTGATAAGGATGGGGTGGTCAGATGGTGTGTTTTGTATGAATAAGGATGGGTTGGTCAGTTGGTACGTTTAGTATTAATAAGGATGGGGTGGTTAGATATTAATAAGGATGGGGTGGTTAGATGGTACATTGGGTATTGATAAGGATGGGGTGGTTAGATGGTACATTGGGTATGAATAAGGATGGGGTGGTTAGATGGTATTGATAAGGATGGGGTGGTCAGATGGTACATTGGGTATGAATAAGGATGGGTTGGTCAGTTGGTACGTTTAGTATTAATAAGGATGGGGTGGTCAGATGGTACATTGGGTATGGATAAGGATGGGGTGGTTAGATGGTACATTGGGTATTGATAAGGATGGGGTGGTCAGATGGTACATTAGTATTAATAAGGATGGGGTGGTTAGATGGTACATTGGGTATTAATAAGGATGGGGTGGTTAGATGGTACATTGGGTATTTATAAGGATGGGGTGGTCAGATGGTACATTGGGTATTTATAAGGATGGGGTGGTCAGATGGTACATTGGGTATGAATAAGGATGGGGTGGTCAGATGGTACATTGGGTATGAATAAGGATGGGGTGGTAAGATGGTACATTGGGTATGAATAAGGATGGGGTGGTCAGATGGTACATTGGGTATTGATAAGGATGGGGTGGTCAGATGGTACATTGGGTATTGATAAGGATGGGGTGGTCAGATGGTACATTGGGTATTAATAAGGATGGGGTGGTTAGATGGTACATTGGGTATGAATAAGGATGGGTTGGTCAGATGGTACTTTTTGTATTAATAAGGATGGGTTGGTCAGATGGTACATTGGGTATTGATAAGGATGGGGTGGTCAGATGGTACATTGGGTATGAATAAGGATGGGGTGGTCAGATGGTACATTGGGTATGAATAAGGATGGGGTGGTCATTTGGTACGTTGGGTATGAATAAAGATGGGGTGGTCAGATGGTACATTGGGTATGAATAAGGATGGGGTGGTTAGATGGTACATTGGGTATTGATAAGGATGGGGTGGTCAGATGGTACATTGGGTATGAATAAGGATGGGGTGGTCAGATGGTACATTCACTATTAATAAGGATGGGGTGGTTAGATGGTACATTGGGTATTGTATTAATAAGGATGGGGTGGTCAGATGGTACATTGGGTATGAATAAGGATGGGTTGGTCAGTTGGTACGTTTAGTATTAATAAGGATGGGGTGGTTAGATGGTACATTGGGTATGAATAAGGATGGGGTGGTCAGATGGTACATTGGGTATGAATAAGGATGGGGTGGTCAGATGGTACATTGGGTATGGATAAGGATGGGGTGGTTAGATGGTACATTGGGTATTGATAAGGATGGGGTGGTCAGATGGTACGTTTAGTATTAATAAGGATGGGGTGGTCAGATGGTACATTGGGTATGAATAAGGATGGGTAAGGATGGGGTGGTCAGTACATTGGGTACATTTACATTGGGTATTAATAAGGATGGGGTGGTTAGATGGTACATTGGGTATGAATAAGGATGGGGTGGTTAGATGGTACATTGGGTATGAATAAGGATGGGGTGGTCAGATGGTACATTGGGTATGAATAAGGATGGGGTGGTTAGATGGTACATTGGGTATTGTTAAGGATGGGGTTGTCAGATGGTACATTGGGTATGAATAAGGATGGGGTGGCTGGATGGCACCACCTGACCATTTGAAGTTTCACCAGTGGCATTGAGCTCAATCTTGCCTGAAATGATCCTGAGATGGTCTTGACCAAGTCCTGTTATTCTTGGTTTGTCTGAAGTCCAAGATGGCCAACTGTCATCTTGACAAACATATTTTAAACTTCTCAAGTTTCACTTGTGTCATTGAGCCCAAAAAAATTAGTGGAAATGTTATGGAAAGGTAGCCAACAAAGTGATGTGCTTTTTTACTTTGTCAACACTCCAATACATCAGCTAGGGAGGCCATTTTGTAACACGATTGCCCAATCATGGTCTTCCTGTGCAACACCTATTTCAAACTTCTTTTCAAGTTTCACTAGCTGGATTGAGCTCCAACATTACTGCCAAAAAATAGGTAACACTTGTTACAGTTACCTACTCCTCACCAAAACTACCATCTGTATCATTGAAAACGGCTTCTTAGTTAGATTTCATTCAAAGTAGAAAAAATAGCCCTTCTCCCAGATGAAAGTTTTTGTTTTTTAGATGACCATTAAGGCCTATGGGCCTCTTGTTTTTTCTTTAATTTTAATGAAATAAACATGGCATGAATATCAAAGTTTTATGTTACATCTAATAACATTCCACATATTCCAGCTTAACATAGCTAATCGGCGTGGTCAGACAGCGTTGTTTCATTGTGTGATACGGGGTGATGTTGATGCCTCCTACAAACTATTGAAGGCTGGAGCTAGTCCTTCCATCAGAGGTGTAGTGTGGGAAACCAGAAAAAAGAAAAGGTGAGAAAACTTAATGTTTACTATGATGATCTTTTATAAAGCTCCATTAGATTGGAATCCTGTAGAAAATCCTACATAGGATAGTCTGTTAGATTCGTGATAGAGAATTAGAATAGATGTATATCTTGTTTAAGATGCTATAACAAATAAGATGGTTTGAAATCTTTGGTTTACTTTTTTCTTCAAAGTCAATTTAAGTTGCAAAATCTTTATATACTAAACATTTTTTCCCTGATAGGAAGTTGTCGCCCATATTTGCGTCATTCCTGTCAATTCCTATACAGCGGACGTTGAGCTGGCAAAACATGCATCACAAGCTGGCTACAGCCCCTCATCAGTTTGGACATCTGGTAGATCTTGGTGAGTAGTTGACATATTAACAGACAAAAATCACTTGGACCTGGTTAAGGTTTCATCACTTTTTTAATGGTAGTGTTGATTTTTAAAATCTTAGAAGGATAAAAGCACAATAAAGACACTTTTGAACTGTCAGCTAATCTAAAGTTTACGTGTCTTCACTGGGACAGACATCATTTAGATCTTCTTGGCTGTACCCTGAGACAGACATCATTTAGATCTTGGCTCTACACTGGGACAGACATCATTTAGATCTTCTTGGCTGTACACTGAGACAGACATCATTTAGATCTTCTTGGCTGTACACTGGGACAGACATCATTTAGATCTTCTTGGCTGTACACTGAGACAGACATCATTTAGATCTTCTTGGCTGTACCCTGTGACAGACATCATTTAGATCTTCTTGGCTGTACACTGGGACAGACATCATTTAGATCTTCTTGGCTGTACACTGGGACAGACATCATTTAGATCTTCTTGGCTGTACACTGGGACAGACATCATTTAGGTCTTCTTGGCTGTACACTGGGACAGACATCATTTAGATCTTCTTGGCTGTACACTGAGACAGACATCATTTAGATCTTCTTGGCTGTACACTGAGACAGACATCATTTAGATCTTCTTGGCTGTACACTGGGACAGACATCATTTAGATATTCTTGGCTCTTCACTGGGACAGACATCATTTAGAATTTGTCAGCATCATTATACTTAAAAGTGGACTTTGTGTAAACCTTATACCATTATATAGATGTCACATTGTGTTACAAATAGACTTACAGACCTATTAGTCAAACATTTAACATGTGGTATCCATAGATAGATACTCTATCAATCATTTGCTAATGTCTGAGTTCTGTAACTCAAGAAGACCATTGTGTATCATACCATAGTTTCCATTGGTTTATTTCTAGTTAATATATCTTAAAATCTTAAAAATGGAGACTTAACTCACCTGAGTGATATAGATAATAATCTCTCATTCTAGAGCCTCTTTATGAATTTGTACATAATGTAAAAACAACAGGAATGTTTCCTGTTACCAGGTGCCATGAAACAGTATTCATTAATTAAATACAAATGTAATCCGGGATTCATTTTTATCTGTTAAAATGAATTTTCAAGATAGGAGTTTCACGGCAGTACTGTATTTATTTGGTAATAAGTTCAGGGGCCAGGATCTAAAGTCAGGTCCATGTTGGCTTTTGCCTACTACCAAGCATCCCCCAATGTACAGGAGTTCAAAAAGTAGGAGATGGGCTTATTACTGAACAGAGACTGACTTTTCCTGATAGATATAATCTGGCGTGAAGTTTAATGGAGGGGAAGGTCAATGTTCTGGGGTTTCCACAAAATCTCTTTTTACGTAACAGAAGTAATTGTTAAATGTGTATTTTCTTCATTATTTTTCTCTGCTATTTCAGTTTTGAAGTTTGAATATTTTACTTAAGTACCATGGTTGTGAAGTTTGAATATTTTACTTAAGTACCATGGTTGTGAAGTTTGAATATATTTTACATTTAGTACCATGGTTGTGAAGTTTGAATATATTTTACATTTAGTACCATGGTTGTGAAGTTTGAATGTTTTACATTTAGTACCATGGTTGTAAAGTTTGAATGTTTTACATGTAGTACCATGGTTGTAAAGTTTGAATGTTTTACATGTAGTACCATGGTTGTGAAGTTGTGTTTTCTCTTCATTTTTAGGTTACTTCAACACAAAGGAAATTGTGGAGGAAATGACATTGTATATTGAGAATGAATTCCCAGAGTTTTCTGACCTAAAATCAGTTAGTCATAAACTTGTCAACTCGATGTTTGGGAGGACAACAGCAACTCTACAACAATTAGCTGCACGCAAGATATTTCACAGCTGTTTCCTGGAGGGGTCGTCTTCCCTTGGAAAACTGATGCCAGCAGAGACTCTGAAGAACAGGTATTCTAATGCAGATCTGAAGCACTGGGATGTTTATGATGAGTATGTGACTCTGGGTCTTAACCAAGCTGTTCTGCGGGCTTTGGTTATACGTCTAAACTTACCACAAGACTCTGAATTGAATTTCAAAATTGAACTGCTTTTACACAGAATGGCAAGTAAGTTCTCCACTTACAAAGTGTTACAGCCAGAGACAATCTTTGGAGGTGATGACACTGACAACTCAAATGACAGTAATTCAGAGAGCCAAGATGAAGGTGACTCTGATTTGGAATACTGGTGATCTTTGTCTCTGATATGTTTGAAATGTCCATATTGATCAAAGTCTCTGATCTGTTTGGCATGTACCAGTCTTGCACCTGGTATGTGATAAGAGCTTGTTGGGAGACAATCAGTTTTTATCTTAATTTCATTGTATTGTATGTTCAGTGCCAAAGAAGCTGATCACAAATACACACACCAGCTGCTTTTGATGTGTAAGGAAATACCAGCTTTCTGTTGTACAGAATCAATCATTGACTGGTCTTACTTTGTAAATTACTCAGGACGGTACAACTCCTTAATTCTGATGCCTGCAAGTAATTTTTTTCAGGGTTTATTAAAACGTTCAATGTTAACTTTGAAACTTTTAGTCAGGCTAATACACTCTTTGCAAAAATGCCCGAGACGATCACTCTACATATAATGTTGTACACTCCAAGACATATTAAAATTCTTGTAATGTATTTACAGGTAATAGTGAAACCAAAATTGTACCAGCGCTTTCAAAAAATTCTATCTGTAGTCGCAATGCAATAGAAATGAATATAGATGTAGAATAGGAATTGAATGGGTGTTTTTTTTCAAAAGAATTAGATTGACACACCGTGCATCAAGCATAGGTATGTAAATAGATGTCATTGAAATGCAGTTATATTTAATACATTTCTTTACACAGGTGAAATTGTAAAAGTTATACAGAAGGTGATAAATCACCATTGTATGTATGGATTTCTTGTCCAGAGGTGAAGAAGATAGATTTATTATATCAGCAGTGCACCATATTGTTTATTTCAAGCTGGTGCTATACATATCAATATTGTTACACTTGAGATCTAGCTATTGTTTGTTTTAATGTCACAGGATACAAGGTCTTCATTTGTTTTAGTTATAACATTGTAAATATTCATTGGTTGTGAGAATTGTTAGCTGCTAAACCAATATCATGATGATTTAGTGGTCAGTTTTTATCAATTTTTATTCTGATGGTGTTTTCAAAATGTTTCATCACCTGTGTTATCAGTCAGATTTCAATACCACATTTATAGTAGGTTAGATTAGTTGATATAGCAGGTTGTTTCTATAAAGAAAACTTCCACTTATTGTTCACTATATAATTTTTATGTTGCTTTATAATCTTAACTTGTATTATCTGGAAAAATAGGGATTTAACTCCAGGAAACTTATAACCAAAGAAGAACATATTAGAACATGTCATGTGCAAATCAAAAACCTAGGTAATCGGAATAGTAAAGCTCTATGGTTTCAGATGTATGATAGTCACTGTAGTGTGTACCCTGTGTAGAAGTATATCACTGTGTCTATATGTAGTGTGTATAAACATCACCATAACACTGACGTTTGTTGGGGAGACATTGCCAATGATATGAAGAGTCACCGAGACAGAAAACCTATAACCAACCAACCAGACAACCAAATATGTATACTGAATATACTACAGTGTACATCTTAGATAAAGAGAAGGGCTCTGTGGTTTTCAATCAAAACCTATTGTTTTATATATAGATTACATGTTTTTAAAGATTCCAGGGAACTTTTTGTTTGTTTTACCATACAAAGTATGGGCTTAACAAAATTTGCTCAAATGCAGAACATTCAGTAAGAAAGGAGCTTGCAGTTATATCTGTTAGAAGTTGTGTTGTAAATATAAATTATTTTTGATAATTTCATGCAGAATTTTTTTTCGTGAGTAATCATTGCTTTTATCATTAAGGGCAAAGCTAGTAAAATATTTTAATAGCTGGTAAAAATTGACCTTTTTATGTATCACCATTTATATATTGTGAAAATGTTGTCACAAATTAGGTAGAATATTGTGAAGGAATTAGCATAACAATACATGCCACTTGGACCTTTTGCTATATATGATTTGCCATATTTGTATTTTCTGCAGAGATATATATATATATTGTAGTGATAACTTTGTATACATGTGTTCTTTGAATTATTATACTCTCTCCGTGTATATTTTCCTCAATGTTGTAGATATATATAAATATGCTCCAGTATCTTTTTAAACTCATGTTCTATAACATATATTACATTATATTTGTGTATGCTTTCTTTACCAGAGTTCTTCTTGTCATATTCTATAATGCTATTTTATTGAATGTTTACAATCATATAAAAATCTTAAAATGAAAGTTCCTTATATTATGTTTACAACAAAGAATGATTAAGCGATTTCTTGTTCCTCTTTCTAATTAAGAGGTGTATGAGTGTTTATCTCTTCTATTATTTGTTGTACCTGGTTACAACATCTAAATTTATAAATTTTTTTAACAGTTAACTTTCAAATTCAATGTTCTTCCTCAGATGTACATTATGAGTTTTGTAAATAGCATTACTGTATCTCATTTACTAAATCATTGTTTGCATTCCTTTGAAATTCTCAAGACAAAAAACTACTTTTATTACATCTAATTTACTGTAGATTTGCTGTAGAAAAAGAAGATGCATATCGCTGTAGGATACAGCCTTAAAAACACTTCCTAGATCCTTGTTAAACCTAGATGTCTGCCGCGTTCAGATTTGAATGCTAATTCCTTGTGTATTAGAGTTGTTTAGATGTGGAACTCAAGTAACAAAATATATTTTGGCAGAAAGTGTTTTTCCAAGCAGCTTGTATTCATATTTTTGCTATGAAAACTTGTTGTGAGGTTTGGAAGAATCTGTAGCAGGCAAAATTGTATTATTGAAACATCTTTATTACATATTTTGTTTGTTATTATCTGGAATTTCATGTAATTAATCCTCCAGATATCTACAGCTGCAGAAGCACATTTTTGCATGATGTTGAATGTATTTTTTTAATCCAAATAACTTGTTTATACATATATCCAATATATGCCATATCACAAATTCCAATTGCAATATCAAACTTGAAATATTGTCCATACCTGGTAGATATTTTTCTTATTTCTCTAGCTGAAGCCAGTAAAGCACTATTGATGTTAAAATGTGGAAGGGAAAGAGAATCTTGAATTGATTAAGTGTAAAATTATTGATTATGTGTGTGATGAACTTCATTAAGATGATAATATGAAGGATGTTGTGAATCACGAAAAAGGAAGTACCTCATTAATCCATAGACATCGATAAAGGTTTTCTTTTTCAAATCTACAGAAAAGACAACTCATAACAATATTCTAATTCTTTTTTCTTTCCTTTCCTGCCTGGCTTAACAGGAGTTGTGAAACCATTTCATTTTTGGATGTTGTAACATGCTAATTAGATGTGCTTCTATTTGTGCTTTCCTGCTATATGTAAGAAAGCATTTCAAGACAAAAGATGTTAATTGTATGACCTAGAATGAAGTGTTTTGTGGTTATAAATCAAAGTACTGATAGTGTGTTATCGACAAAAATTAAAGACAAATTATACAGTCAAAATGTACTACAGTCACAGTTAATCTGTTACTCTTAACACAGAACCATCTTATTCATGTCAATTTGATTTATCAATACCCTCGTCCTCACAACCAAACACACATTAAATGAAATTGAAAAGCTAAATCATTTCTCTTTGACTGCTGAAAAAATTGTCACAATGTCTTTGATAAACAAAGTATTTAGTGGTGCAAGATTGTCAAACAGGTTTTTACAACAATAACTACATATGTCTTCCAAAATGGTGTCAATAAGAAAGTTAAAATTATTTTTTCAAGTTTTATCACAATACAAGAACTTGGCATGTTGGTTTGTTATTTTCCCCAATAATGGAGACAAAAATAACCTCTCATAAATGTTATATCATATTTATGTGCTGGTATGTTACAATTGTGTTAGTAAAACAGGAGAAAATGACCACTTAATGATGCATAGTCAAGTCACTCCATCAGTTAAGTTTGATGAATATCAAAGATAAAAAAATTACTATTGAAGTCCTCAGACAAAGTTTATGTCTACAGACAGCAGACTACAATCTATATCTTCATCACAGGAGGTATAACTTCTCTGTCTTCATCACAGGAAGTATAACTTCACTATCTTCATCACAGGAGGTATAACTTCACTATCTTCATCACCAGAGGTATAACTTCACTATCTTCATCACCAGATGTATAACTTCTCTGTCTTCATCACAGGATGGTATAACTTCACTATCTTCATCACCAGAAGTATAACTTCTCTGTTTTCATCACCAGAGGTATAAATTCTCTATCTTCATCACCACATGTATAACTTCTCTATCTTCATCACCAGAGGTATCACTTCACCACCAGAAGTATAACTTCACTATCTTCATCACCAGAGCTATAACTTCTCTGTCTTCATCACAGGAAGTATAAATTCTACATCTTCATCATAGGGTGTAAATCTCCTCTATCATCACATGAGATCAAACTTCTTTATCTTTATCATAGAGGGTGTAATTAAACAAGGATATTTTAGATGTATAGATTATCACTAAATTAGCCTACCAAACATTTTCATTAACTGATTTTTTACCATAAAAGTTCATTTTTTTTCTTATATAGAGTATATATACTTACATGAATATAGCATATAACATGATATAACATGAACAGCCAGGAATTGGCACAGAAGGCCAACACTTGAATTTCTCCAAGTCGGGTTCTGTTTATTGTCAGATTGATAAATAAATGTTTGAAGTATTATTGAACAGTGATGAATATAATGGCATATTATCATGCAGTAAGCCCAGGAGGCAATAATAGACTTTGTGGTTTTACTGAACAATAGTAACTATTGTAACAGAGGTCATTATATATTTCATAGTTTCCATTAGAATTAAAACCTGGGATTTCTTTCTTACCAGTCTGAAGTTTAACAAATTAAGCTAAAAAGAAGTTCTCTCAGAGCTGTATATTGTGTATCATCCCGCAATAAGACTAGGAGGCCAGCATGTGATCTAAAAGTGAGATAGTGGGCTTATAACTGGGCAATGAAATTGCAGGTGTTGGCTTTTTTCTGAAACTACAATATCAGTAGATGGATTTAAATTAGGTACATGCTTTGTCTATCTACACATACCTGTATATTTATATTCTTCTCAACATTCTATATAGGTAGTATTTTATGTGATATTAGTTTTTTTAATACATTTTAACACATGTCACATGTATTCAAGTAGCCACTATATTTATAAATTTAAATATAACGCTTAAAATATTTATATATATATATATATATATACATGAAATATCTATAAATGTTAACAGATTTTTCTCATTTGCTTTGCTGTCTCTCAAGTTGCAACAAGTTTATTCCAGAAAACATTCCAAGTATAGGATCATTATTATATCACACAGATGTCAGTTTAATTATAACCTAATTGATATATTTATCAGAATATCATTATGAATGTTTTTATCCAATGACAAATGATTTAATAAACAGTAAGCTGGAAAACTTGACCCTCTGTCAAAGTGGTGACATGCACTTACAGTGTTTCTTGTTATCCATCATTACAAGATATTATTGTGATATTGTTTTCCTGATTTCAATACATACTGTTTCTAAAGTTTATTTTGTGCCTTGATTATTCCTTATTTGCCAGAGGCTTATATCATTTGATTTAAAGTTGTTGTCGACTTAAATGCTACTCAAGGAAAAAATAAACATTAATTCTGACTTTGTAGTTTGTCTTTTTGTAAGAGCAAGTGTTTTCCATCATTGTTTATATTTAAATCTTGTAGATATGTTCCTTGTACCAATAAGTAGTGGTATCCATGTTTATCACATTTGTCATATAGACATGTAATCTTTAAGACTGGTTTAATCTTACATACTTTTAATGGTCCAATACTTTGATTGTTATAGTCTTAAACCTCCAGACTTAACATGCGATCCTCAAAAATGACTAAGTCTGAAAGAGAGTTAAGTTTATGCCTTTGAACAAACTGATATACAGGTTGTTCCAGAGAGATCCCACTATAATATAACCTTTAATGGCCCATGAAAGTTTTGATTTTTTCTGAGAATTTTCTCTTGTGTATGTTTTATTGGCGGTCCATGGGTCATTTTAACTTGGTCTGTAGAGCAGCAAACTTCACAACTTAATGTTAAAATCCAAGATGTATGGCCTTATGATCCTAACTTGAGGCAGTTTGTTTCCCAGGAAGCTTTCATGGATCACCTTTTGTGGTCATGTTTGAGTCCAAGGATGAAACACAATATCCTGATTGCCTTTGATACAATGAATAGCATTCAATTGGCCTTTTGCATGTTCAATGAGGTAGCCACCAGCATTTACAGTTCCTGGCCCTCTGCAGTCCCTTTTGCCCAAGGACTTTTGAAACCAATTTGGTCAAAATACTTTCACTGCAACAAAGGAAGACTTCATTTATTTGGTGTATTGGGTCATGCACCTTAGCCATCTGGAGAGCAAAAGCTACTTTTCATACAAAATTGAATTCTCCTCATTAAAGGATTCTTTAAATCAAGTTTGAATTGGGTCATTCTTGTAGATGAATAAGGAATTTTTAACGTTGGCTAAACATATGCCTTTTGGCCCTGCCCACAGTTGCTGTGATTCATCATTTATACACTATTGGTTTCCCTTCCAACAATGATGTTTTTAACTCTGATAACTTCATCCCACCACAAGGAATTAAAAAAATTAGCTTAATTACCCCTTTCATGTCTTGCCCCTCAGACCCCTTGTAAAATATTGATTCCCCTTCCCTCAAAGATGCTTCTGACCAAATTTGGTAAGAAATTTGCTTAGTTGTTTAAGACAGGTAGCACTACTTAGGACAGTTGATGAATGATGGATGATAGACGCAGCAGTATGGCATAAGCTTACTGGGCCTTTGGACCAGGTGAACTTAACAAGAGGTCCCAGAGGTATCTTGAAGCTTACCATGCTTTGATCCTCATTTGTTCTTACAAGTTTTATCTTTTACGCTTTTTCTCTTCACTCCTTTCAATCATATGAAAGTTGAGAGTTCCTCTCAATGTTTTGATGACATTCACTGTCAGCAACTTTTGTGACAGTCCCAAAATCATGGGGCACAAGTGACCAAAGGTAGCCTAGGGTATGTACGAAATTTGATAAAGATCCATCAAGAAATGGCAATGAAAATATGACCATTGTAGTAATACAAAGTGACCATTTTGAGAAAGTTCCTTCCATTCAGTCAGGAAATAGCTGAAACAAGAATTGCTTCAACTTGGCAAGGAAAGATTATGGAGGCAGGGTAATTTGAACAGCCCCACAGCTGAAGATGGTTGGCTGAAAAATGGTACAAGGAAAAAACACTCCTCCAAAAGTCAAATCAAACTTATGTACAGGGAAACTTCTTGTCATGGTAACTAAGTCTACCAAGTTTGAAATAGACTGTTGGAAAACTTTGGGAATGGAATTCTGCATAATTATGATGGACGTATGGATAGACGATGCCATAACATTTGACAGGCAAATGAAAACTTCAAGAAACACTGAAAAACAACAAAGACTTTACAAACAATTTCAAATGCTTGTATTTACAGCACAACTTTCCAGTCTCATGTAGTTGCACAGCTATACTTCATACACAATAATTATACCTGACATTGTGATTTTAAATGTATTTCTAGTCATACTCACAAACACTGCCGTTCTCATACACTTACACACAAGTCCAGGTTCTTGTCAGTCATCACATCACATCACAGAAAAGTACAAAAATATCTTACTAAACATACACAATATAACAACTTCCATAAACAATACATTGTAACCAGTCAATGTTCAAATCATCCTAGTGGCAAGCATTACAATAATCCGTGCTTTAAGAAGTTTGATTAGGAAACGGTTTGCTGAGATCTTAATCCCTCAAATTTTGTGGGATTATGCCACACATCTAGAATTAGGAAGGGCAATAATTTCTGTATTAAAATACTTTGGTAATGAATGGTATTACCACTTTTTTAATTCTTGATTTATCTGTTCCGATACTTTGGTCTTCTCATGAAGATATCACAAGACCATACAATCAACAAGTCTGGAAATTGATACGGGACAACAAATAAAATTTATTACAGGATAACTGTTTGGTTATGGTGAATATTGTGAAACAAAAACAGAAGTACTGTATAACTGACTTCAGATTAGCTTAGTTACTATTGTATACAATGTATCAGTAATTTTGTTGTAATCATAGTCATTAAAACAAAATACCTAACAATTTTACTGCAAATTCAAATCTCAGGAAATGTATGTTAGATACTTTTACATATTGATACCAACTATAGACATGTGCAAAATTAAATCCTGTACACTAGTCCAGACCAGGGAAACCACAAATATTTGCAATGTAAAACTGAACAATTATAGAGTATTTCTTAAAAGTACAGATGCCATGGCTAATTAAGTTTGCAATTATTTGACAGTGTAAAGGGTAACCTTGTTGTTTCCATCACAAAGCTAAACCTGTCTTGAAGTTAGTGAGGGATGCAGAAATACATGCATTATCGATTGAGAAACTATCAAACTTCAATTGATGAAGGAACAAGCTAACATTGACCGACAGAGGAACTAGCTAACATTAAACAAAGGAAGAAATAGTTAAATTCAATCAGCAAAGGTACTAGCTAACTTCAATTGATGTAAGATCTAGCTAACTTCAATTGATGTAAGATCTAGCTAATTTCAATCAATGGAGGAACTACCGAACTTCAATCAGCAGAGAAAATAGCTACCTTAAACAGACGGAGGAACTGTCAAACACAAATCGATGGAGAACTAGCAAAATTAAATTGATAGAAGAACTATCAAACTTCAATCAGCATAGAAAATAGCTACCTTAAAAAGATGGACGAACTATCAAACTTAAATCGACAAAAGAGCTAGCAAACTTCAAAGGTGCTTTTTTAAAGTTTGAATATTCCAATCATTGTAAAATGCAATATGGCATTGAATAGTAAATCAATCAATATTTGGAGACTTAACATCACAATTTAAACATTAATCCTCATTCCAGAGATAGAAACATGTGATAGAAGTGGCCATGGTAAAGCAGATAAACAAGGAGAAATATTATTTATTCAACATTTGCCAATGTAAGATTTATCAGGATGGTTGGTTATGTTGCTGAAAATTGATATAGTGCCCTCCACTTTCTCAAGCTTTAATTTAACAGGAAATATTCATCTTAACCAAAACATGATATGTCAAATATAGTTATTTTTTTCTTACAAATTCTTCAAACTCTGAACCCAAATCAACACAAATCATAGGTAAAAGTATCAATGACTTTCTGTTAACTACATCAAGATCTAATTCTTTGGTTAGGTTTAGGCAAACACATTTAATCAATGTTCACTTTTAAAAAAGTTCTTAATATTTTACAAAAAACAAAAACTGATATATAATTATTACAACATGTATGCTAGTAAGAAAGGCTCAATTCAAAATGGCACCCAATCTAATTTCATAATGGCACTGATAGTTTGCTTCGAAAAACTTGGAAATAAGCCTCATAAAGACAGTTTACATTTGTGGGTTTGCAGTTAATATATATTTGACTTTGAATTAAAAAAAAGTGTGAGAACAAAAGCTATAGTGCAGTATTTTCTGGTTTCTAACAATATCAGTATAGAAAAATAATTTCATTTTTCAAATTTCAACAGCTTTAGTCAATGTAGTTATGACTGAAATGATATCAACATCGTTTTAAAACAGACTATATTGCACTTGTTTTCAGACAGACTGAATTCTAGCAGAAATTTTTTGATTGACTTATGTATTTCCACTAATTTTATCCTATAATAAAGGCAAGTACTGTACCTCAACTAATGTTATAATTGTGAAGAATATTGTATTTAAAAGAAAAAAAATAATACTGAAATAATTCCCTGTTACATTTTTGCTTTCAGAGATATTTTATCGCAGCCAAAACTGGAAAAGCAGAAATAATTCATCTTTTACTTTTCACCAGTAAACAAATCATTAAAACATGTGGCTATCAATGTTATGAAAAAATTATCATATTGCACATAATCGCTTATTCAAACAAAGTAAAACATTACAATCAATGCTTGACAACAACTGATAATGGAAGTTCCTACTAATCAGTGTCTGAGGAACTCATAACTGAACGCATACATGGAATTGATAGAGCCTATCTGATAACCACCTAGAAAAACATGTTTGCAATTAGAACTGTGGTCAATTCAATTAATCATCACAAACTATTTATTTACTTTAATTTCACAATTGCACAGGATTCCTGCATAGATGATTGCTAGGCAAAGGGCTACAAATGCCAACATGTCCATTTGTTTTGTTTTCACCGATACAAAATTCTACATGCTCCTATTACTAAAGCTGATGATAAAATTTCCAAGTAATTACTTTCACCTTGAACCTTACTGATTATTCACTGTATGATGGAATGAAAATCTGCTCAAGTAAGCAAAGCAGAAAACTGCACTGAAAAACAAATAATGATGTGATTATGTCATTATATCTACCCGCTAAATCAGCTGGTTATATCTCATCAGTGTTGTAAAATATAACACACACATCCATATAATTAGTATTAAATTATAGGAGGAAGAAGCACCAAACAGGTTTTAATTTAAAGCAAGTAATTTTGTCTAAACCAAAAACTGAAGAAACTGCTTGCTGCATTTGTGTCCAATTGCTTCATTTATTACAGAATCTTTCAAAGAGGACAGTGTTTTCATTTCATCAATTTATTTTTCATAAAACTTGAATGTGGGCACTATAAAATTAAAACCACTAATGACTTGGTCACATCCATAAATTGACTTCACTAGCCCTGAAAGTTGAGCTAGAGGGATTGCACAACCTGGCAAATATTCAAAACTCCTTGAATTTACATTAGATGTAACATTTACTAACAATATATAATGTAATGATATTACAGGTACCTAGATAAAATAGCATCATAATTCAAAGTTAATGATCAGAGTGCACCACTGTCTAATCTCTTGAAGGAAAAAACAATTCTCCCACAAGTTTGCATCAAACAAAGACTGGCACCAAATGAGTTCTGGTACTTTTTCTGCTTCCAGATCTTCCTTTCACCTCTTCCATGCCCACTTTCTCTTTTACTATCAGCTACATTCATATCTTCTACACCGGAATTTCTCATATGAATCAACCCATCTGGACTCTAATCACACGTGAGGTTACCGAAGACTGCCAAGATTCATTGTGAATATTGTCTCTCCGTCTGTGCCACAGAGCAGGGTATGTCCTGCCACATCTATAGTGTTTATGGGCAGTGATTTTTGATCAAGTAATGAGGTGATCTCAATTTTGTTTTTAGCAATGTCAGTGGCCAGCCATGGGTTTGAAAGACCAGTGGTGACCGCACTGCCACCATACTGGAACTGTCTGGGTGTTGATAAATTGCCTCCTCCTGATCCTGCACCTGTGCACATAATAAGTACTGCTTTATGATACAACACAAATGTTCTAACAGCTTTAACCTAAGATTTATCAACTATATTAAATTTTACAAACAAAGATTTCAGTGGTATATCAATTTTTTTAAATAATTGTTTACAAAAACAAAAAATCTGAAACCAAGATTTTCGGCTTTCTTTTTGGAATTTCTGAATTTCAGAGTAATGGAATGGCACACATGTTCAGGGTTAGTTCAAGTATGACTATTAGCTACCTCATAATTGGAGGATGAGAATGTTTCGTAAGATCTCTTTTTCCAAAAGAATTCTTCTGAGTTATTCCAAAAATTGTCATCTGATAAAAGTAGGGCACATTCCTCTGAGACCCAATGCTTAAAAATTTTAATGAAATATATATGTTTAACATGTAACACATGTGACTAATCAAAGCACGTAAAAAGGTTATCAAATTAGAAGTGCCCTCTTGTGTAGCAGATACAACATACCTGTACCTGTTATCTGGTTGATGCCTGTCATCATGCCAACAGGTGTGGCATTAACTTGTGAGCCATCCCAGTGCCACACACAGCCATCCTCTGAACAGGTGAACAAGTGGTCAGGTGCAGATGGGTGGAACCTCACCTCCCACACTACAAAAAACAGTAATCATCATAATTGTTTCAATATGCCTGGTATATGTATTCAAGCCATATATCTTCATTTATCAGTAAAAACGATGATCATAATCAAAATATCAAAAATATAAGCAATAGTAATCCATGTAAGGTATACAGCAGTCTTTCTAAGATATCTCATCCAATAAACTGTGTTTCTATTTGAAATTTATAGAGCAGATATGCTCTAGAAATGGTTTTGTTTGAGGAAGGTCGCAGGTCAAAGGTAAAGGTATAAGTGATCTTATTTTAGTTTAAGTCATATACATGAAATTTCCAAAAAAATGAATCTTTACAATATAGAACAGGACTTATACCCTGGAAACATTTTCATATTTCTGCATGACGAAGGTAGCATAAAGGTCAAAGTAACATTCTGTCCTTATTTGTCAACACTTCTTCAAAAACAATAATCTTACAATTGATATGTCAGCAAGATCATTGATCAAGGTTGAAGAACAATTTCTTGTATATGAAATTGTTTGCCGAAAGATCTTGATCATCCTATGCAAAATAGTACATATGATATTCTCAAGAAGTTGGATTGTTTATTTTTGTGTGGATGTTGAAGTTGAAAGTATCCGAAAGATATGTCAATAGTTATGACATAAAAGCAATGGAACTTTCCAGCATTTCACTATAAAATCTAATACAATATTTTTTAATGTAATATTTGCTTACAAAGCATTACACTGTAATTCAAACACTTTGTGCAACAGTACCTGTCCCAGAGTGTGCCTCCATCAGGGACACTGGGAACTTGTCATGTCTCAGGTCCCACATTCCAAGAACACCATCTTGACCACCTGTTGCAACAATGTGAGTCTGACTGGGGTGCTTGTCTATACATTGTAGTGGTGTTAGTTCTCCCGTTCTGGAACAGAGATTATTCAGAAAAGTTAGAAACACAGTAATTAAATGAAAGGTGTAATGATGCAAAATTATAATACCAATATTCATATTTTTAAATGAAATGATTCCATTTTTGATTCAATGAAAAACATTGTTTTTAATAAAATATGTACATAATTTATAAATTTATATGTGTAAACATATTTCAATTCATATCCCATTGTTCCCAAAGTGAAAACATGTCTCTTCATCAGACCAAATTTATGGAGCAGTTTGCAAACACAAATCCATTATATATAAGCCATTCTAGTATCTTTGCTTAGAAGTTATTTGAATTTGTGAAGGCAAAACAAGGCCTTGAAATTGGGTATTAAAATTCATTGTGTAATTATTTTACAATAAATTACACATTTAATATTACTTATCTGATTTTTTATACTTACACAGAAAGAGTTTGTGTTGGTTCATCAGAATTTGTCCTTAGATCAAATATCTTGAGCTGTCCTGTAGAATTGACTGTGATGAATTCTGTCTGCTTAAGGAAGGTAATACTGTTAACAGTACAGCTGTCTGCTTTATCTGTAACAGATAACACAATAAAATGATCTACACCTTCCAAAATGACCCAGAAACTAATTCTCATCACTGAATATAATACTGGTCAAACCCAGCTCATCTTTTAAACATTATTGAACTCCATTACATTACACAGCATTTTTCCCAACTTATAAATCACACAAGTATATAGGCTGCAGAGACATTTTTTCATAATTTGTTTTGTTATGGGAACCACATATTAGCTGCATCCTTTCCTTACGATATGGTGACCACTATGCTGAATTAAGGTAATTGATATATAGCTGACAACGCAAGACAATCCATCAAGATCATCAGTGGAACATTTTATGAAGTAAATAAATGAATAAGCCACAAATTTTCCTTTAGTTTAAGTATTTTTGAAGAAATTATTCTGGTCATTTAAAATAAGTAAAATTTAAAACTTGTTTGGTGCCTTCAAAAGACTGTCTATTGTCTATTGATAAACAACAGGCTAGCGGAGTATTTGACCACTTTGTCAATTCCCAAGAATTATAATCTTCATGCAATGTTTCAGTATTTTTTGTAGGATTTTTAAAGGCGAGTCCAGAACCACAATTCCCAAATTTTTATGAAAAAAAATTTGAGAGAGTCCCAAAGCGAAAGTATGAGTCTAGAACTTGAATATCTGAGTCGCAAAAATCACTGAGGGTTGGCATCAAGATATTTCAACAGAAAGGGAAAGGATATCTGTTTTGAAATTTTTCTTTAGTGTTTTTTTTTTTGCATCTCAATGCTTGACATTGTTCATGTAATATTTCTGAAGTGTTGATTGGACCTTATACAACGTTTATGACACCTTATCCTTCATCTCAACCACAGGGTTCCACAAACAAGAGGCCCATGGGCCTTAACGGTCATCTGACATTAGATACAAGATATTTGACCCCTGTGACCTTTAAAGTGGGTCAAGGTCATTCATTTGAACAAAGTTGGTAGAGCTCCATGCCAGTATGCTCTGTGCCAAGTATTAGCCCCCTAGACCTTCTAGTATTTGAGAAGAAGTTGTTTGAATGAAAAGTTTACGCACGGCGGACGACGACGGACGAAGCACGATGGCTATAGGTCATCTTGACCCTTTGGGTCAGATGACCTAAACACTTCACCAGTAAAAGTCTAGACAAAATTAATAAGGGAAGGAGAAAAACCAACTAATGAGAGCCAAATTCTGACTATATTAAAAAGCATATGTATAGCACATTCATCATCTATTACCAAATCATACATTTAAAATAAAGGATTCATTGTTTTCATATATGTACCTATAACTCTATTTGGCATTTTGTGTCCAACTTGTATTATATTGACACGCCCATCCTCTCCTGAAGACACTATCACATCATCACGGATGGCCAAACACGTACAAGGACACAACTGTCCATAATGATGATGAACTTTTTCCCACTGCTGGGACACACCCAGGGTCTGAAAACAAAAAGTGTAACTATCAGATAGTTGAAATAGGCTTTAGTAGAAAGTACTAGTTATGAATTCCAATATTTTTCAGTATACTTGGTAATATTGTATCTAAAACGTGAAATTTCAAACAAGCCAAGAATTTTATTTTGTAGAAATCACTAAACACTGATCATAGATATTGATAAGTACTATATTCACACCTTTAATAAAGTTTTATGATGTGTACAATATCCTTACTGGGTTTTAAATAGTGGAAACTACTATGTGAAACTCCATAAAACTTCAAATTCATCCCAGGATTTTTCAGTTGAAAAGTTAACATGGTACACTTACATACCAATGCACAAGAGAATGAAAGCTAGTTCACAAATTAGAAAGAAAATTTTTGTCAATAATCAGTTTTTAAAAGGTCAGATGCGGACAAATCAAATGCTCTGTCTATAAACTATTTTACCATACATTGCAATCTATGGCTATTTCTTATACCATACTACATCATTTTTATGGTTACTTACCTGTGAGTTTGTATGATGTCTATAAATAGTAATGGTTCCCGTTGAAGAAGAAGCAACAATATGATCTTGACCCATGTACTGAAAACCAGAAAAACACTCCATCTAATAATATTATAGAGAGCATACTTTATATTCATGTCATTGAATAATAAAAAAAATTGTGATGAGTTTTGTAACTTGTAGGAAACAAATATGACAATCTATTTGAAACATAGATACTTTTGCAACAATTTCTGAAAAAAGTTTTTATCAATAGCCTGAAACAAAAAAGACGACATTCCTGTCTTACTTCTTCTTGTACCAACGGATAAATACATATGCTGCCCACATCATCTCATTCTGAAAAATTTGAACGGGAACTACTTTTGAAATGTATGTTGGGTTTTATTGTAATGTGTTGGGTTGTAATGGGCCAAGTCAAAGTAATAAGAATACAACACCATCAATTCTGATTCCCCCCACCCCCCCAAATCATTCCTTTCTTCCGAAATGTAACTCTAAATACACTTTGCATTTAGTAGGAGAGCCCCAGTACTGTATTTTCCGGGTTATAAGCCGCAGAGCTGATCTTTTACCAATTTTTTTTTATTTGATCCTATTAAAATCTGCACTGGAATATAAGCCACACCATTTCCTATGAAATGGTGACCGTTGCATTGACCAAAGTTTGTTGATAACATACAACCAGGGTTTTCCATAATTTTGTTAGTAGTAGGCTGTGTAGTGAAAGTAGGAGGCTGGCCTGCTGTGTACGTGTAGTCGTGTATGGAACATTATTACGGAACTGGATTGGTGTAGGTGGCCAAATGATCAAAGTAGTTGGTCAAATTGGCCGGCGACCGGCTCTTATGGATAACCCTGATACAACAGAAGGCAATTTATCAAGATCGTCAGTGAAACCTTGAATAAAGTTTGCTGATGAGTTATACTCAAATAATGTTTTATTCTATTGATGTATTTAAAAAAAAAAAAAGTAAAATAGCAAATATCAAACTTGTTTGGCTTGGGGTGCCTCCAGATTCTCCATGCACAGATATAGGGCCTGACCTTACCTATGGTTTACTAAGCATTCTCTCTATTGGTGTCTGTACTGTTAAATACTAATGCAGATCATTGCATGCTGAACAAATTCTTATAGTCCCATTTACTTCTTCTAAGTTATACGAAGCCATTTATATCATAAACAAGCATGGCGGTCATTCTAGAATTTGACATTTATCCGAATTACCTATCGATCCAAGGATGCAAAAGGCTATTGTAAACTTCCGCTCAACTTCCAAGTAACCGTAAAAAACAAGCAAATATCACTGTGATTCATATTAAAAGGAATGATTAATTTAAATCCACGAGAATGTTATTTTTATTTCAATCTTCAAATCATACTGTATCTGATTGTAAATGATGCTTCTAGATAAACTGTTGCAGTCACAAACACAAGACAAACAGGTACTCAGTAATGTCTTGTACTGGTGGACTGGTATGCTTCTTGTTTTTTTTTTTTCATCCAGATATAAGCCCCATGCTCAACTCATGAGGAAAAAAGGTGCAGCTTATAATCTGGAAACCTTGATATTTCATTACCGAGTGAGAAATTTCATACATGAAATGCTAACTCCCCCCCCCCCCCCCATGTTTCAACAACATTAAAAGGTCATGCACAGATTGCTATATTACTGACCTCTAATCCAGTAACATCTCCCCTATGAGGAGCCTCACATAAGATAACTGGGTCACTTTCCACATAGCCTGTCCCTCCTCCATCATCCATCATCCCACCCAGGGCCTTCTGTCTTTCAACCTTCCATAGACACACCTTATTTTTCTGGAAAAAAAATAAAAACATACTGTGTTAAACAAACAAAAACTCATCTAGTGAAATAGAGGTGAATTGGGACAAATGAGTTTTTTTCAATAATATTTCACGGATCAATACATGTAAATGATGTAGGTGCTTAGTCCCTGCCAAATTACTAAACATCACCACCACCAAACAGTGCAAGTTAAGTTCACTTTTCCATATAGAGTGTGGTCTAGTTCTACAACACATAACTGGCTAGAAATGCCCTTTAACTTGATATTCTGATTATACCAACGTATATTTCATCATTTATACAGAATATTTATCTGAAAATACATAAAATGTCTAAATGTCCAATACTTTATTGAGGTACTGTCAACATGTTGGCCAAATTACTTGTCACAGAATACATAAAATACTTCTGTTCACATTTGATTTCAATTTGGTTCATATACACCTTTAAGAACCTTGTGCTACACCTTCAATGTACTTATTAAGCTGATAAAAAGTCTCTGAAGTCATGTCAGACAACAATCCAATTCATTCATTGAAAAAAATAATAATTGTGTGTTGCAGATTTGATATTACAAGACTTTTTTTTTCAAAGACAAATTTTTGAAATGGCTACCAGTCTTACAATTTTATTTTTTAATAAGTTTAATTAACCATGATACATACTGGCCACAATATTTATGAGTAAGACTAGTAAGCTAGGGTCCTAAATTTGATTCCTTTCTGAAGCATTGAAATAGTTACTAATAGTGACATTTGTTAAAATAAAATCCTCTTCAAAATTTGCCAAAAACTGAAGTTGCAGGAAAAAAATCAGTGGACTCATTTACTTAATAACCGTAAATGGCTTAGAAACTTTAATTTATCTAAATTAGTAGAAACATTTGATCTTTCAGTTGATGTATCATTTACCAGCATTGTACTGTTGTAAATCATACAAATATAAATGTATGAGTCACTAAATTTCATCTTTTAACGAGGAATTCTGACAACAGACCTTTTATCATAACCAAGTTCTCATCATTGGTACTGAGTGAAATACTTTAACTCTCCTTATGACGAGTGACATTCCATGATGCTTATGGTTTGTATCCAGTAGTTTTTTTGGTAATACGGACACTTTACTAATACATTTTATCGTATGAACTCTGGCTAATGAACGCATTTTCATACTTCTATACAATTATTTGGTTGTAATTGATTGACGTTGCATAGCTAATTAGCTGTAATTTTCATGACTTTTATGTCCACTACAGTAGGGGTCCGAAACTGATGTACCGAGGATCTTTCGAAGCTTGCACTGCATAGTTTTCAGAGATAAATTCAAAGTATAGTAGGCAGTTTTCGGCTCTTTCATTAACTTGAATGCATCCAAATTATTAAGATATTCGGATAATCAAAACTACACCGTAACACTTAAAGCAAACCAGAAAACGAAAGAAGCCTCATCACCAATGTCTCAAACCGGTTTCAGACATGTCAACGAAATGCGAATGTCGGCCATGAATAAGGGATAACTAATGTGTTAGATTAGTATTCGTACTTCATCATCCCAACTTCCACTTGCGAAAATGTCTGATTCTTGAAGAGACTGCTTTTGCTGTTGTCGCCACCGAATTTTGTTGATTTTGTGAGACACGAATGTTGCCCTCGTGTCCGCCATTTTGAATCTTTGCACATGGCGGGAACATCCGGGTATGCAACAGAAAGTCTACAATGGGAGGCAACTGTACATGTTGAACGTTCCACGGTCTAAAATGCTATTGAAATGACGAAAATGATAGATGAAATTTTGAAATTTTTATCGGGACGTATCAAAACTATTTCTATTCAGAAAAAACTAATTTCAATTATTTCAAGCCTGTCATATTGCATAAGAAGCCACTTAAGACTTCCACTTCGCACATTTTACAAGTGAAAGGACTCCAGATTGAATAATGAAAAAATAAAACAGAAGTCAGGACTATGCGAGTTTTGTTATGTCGAGAATCTTTGGCGGCTACACAGATGATATATATAATCCTTCCTAACCGGTTGATCAGTCCACCAGACGGCTATAAAAGCTCCCGTTTTGTCAAAATATTTATCATAGTTCATATGAAAACATCACAAACACGGGATAAACGCTACTTTATAACATCTCCTTCTCACTGGTTTAAGTTCCAGAAGACTTGATGTGCACCACAATTTCGTGTAAGCTTCTGTGTTATAATGGTGATCGTGTAGAACAGTATTATGGAAAGCCCACACGATATGTAAATGGTTTACGAGAAATGTTCTATGCGAAATGACGGTACGTTTTGTCACGTATTTAATTATATAGAAAGTCGTTAAGTCTTTTCAAGATATCTTTAATTTCAAGACGATCTTAATTATTTAGAATGAACAATTTTGTTAATGACGTTCAGCTTCATTAACGACTGAGGGCAATATGCGGAAATGCGTTATAATAACGGCTTATCCGAAATCGATTTAACATGATCTCAATGCTTATGAATGTATAATGTGGAGAACATTTTAGACGAAAAATGACACCGTTGCTCTGGGACAGTGCTGTCCTGATATTATTCGTGTGATTTATGTATCGAAATTAAATTGACATTGTTGTTGTCATGCTATTTTTCTAACCGTTTCCTGTTCGTTTTCATTAATTTTTTACTCTACAGGTTCTGCTAAGCCAGTTCTTAGTTATCGTTATTTACTTTTGTTATATACTAGCCCAACTGGATCACCGTTTCACATCCAACATTGGGTAGAGGGGTAGGGTTGCAATTTATATGTATGGTGGTGAGATCGGCGAAATCGTAAGTATAAAGGTAAGCTTTTTAATGAATACACAATGGTTTTAAAACATCTGATAAGTGCATGGGCTGCAGCAGAAGACAAATACATTAAAAAGAACAGGTGACAAAGACAAGTCATCCTTCAACAGACGGATGACAAATGTAACCCATCATACAGGCGGGTGACAAATGCGAATCATCCTACAGATGGGTGACCAATAGACAGCCATCCTACAGACGGGTGACCACTAGACAGCCATCCTACAGACGGTTGACAAATGTCAGTCATCTTATAAACGGGTGACTAATGCCAGCCACCCTACAGATGGGTGACCAATAGACAGCCACCCGACAGACGGGTGACAAATGTCAGTCATCCTACAGACGGGTGACCACTAGACAGCCATCCTACAGACGGGTGACAATGCCAGCCACCCTACAGACGGGTGACCACTAGACAGCCATCCTACAGACGGGTGACAATGCCAGCCATCCTACAGACGGGTGACCAATAGACAGCCATCCTACAGACGGGTGACAATGTCAGACATCCTACAGACGGGTGACTAATACCAGTTATCCTACAGCGACAAATGTCAGCCATCCTAAAAACGGGTGACAAATAGCAGTTATCCTACCGTTGGGTGACGTATACCAGTCATTCTACAGATGGGTGACCAGTATACAGTCATCATACAGGATCGTAAATGAGTTTTCATTGCATATAATATGAAAACGAATGGAAGAACTAGAGCTTTAAGTCTCCGGTCATTCTGGGTGACCCATATTAGTCGTTCTATATAAGGGTGAAAAATGACAGTCATCGTACAGACGAGCCTGAAAATACCAAACTTTCTACAGATGGGTGAAACCCATTTTGACAGGTTTAAAGTCAAAATGTAGTACCGTGAAAATAAAACAGAGGCAGCCACTTTGTTGAACGATTTCATATTCATGGCGTAACATCATTGTCCAAATCATCACAATTGATTTTCTGACTGGTACAGCTAATGAAAAACGTTCTATGATAAGTATTGCGTTGTCGAATCAGAGATGTTGTTTCTAGGCGAATTCCTCTTGGTCCCGGTAATAACAGTCGGGTATTTATGTGATTAAGTCATCCGAGCGCTCTCGCATAATATGTATGATATCGGTTAGATATATAACTTAAAATAACTGATAGTTGATTGTAGATTGAGATAGGTTGGAAAGAGCTACTTATTTTAGTTAGCATAGCATTTTATATATTCGTTCAAATTAAACCGAGCAACAAATCATACACCTACGTTGTTTGATTTGACGCATAAAGGGAAACTATAAGAAATATAAAATAGTATAATGTAAATTTTGAGTATAAACTTTTAAAATTAGGTTAATAGGTCGACTATATAAAGATGTATTTGAGAAGTATATGCTTAAAAGCTAGTTACTTCTCAACTAAGTGAGAAAGCTAACTAAGCATACAAATACTCCCGCCACTTAGCCCATGTCACCGCTGTGGCTAGAGTGGCTGTGATGATACTGATCGATTAAACATGTTTTACATTCCATTCATTACGTATTTGATTAATACTTAATATTTATTGCAGTGCAGCCTTTTTTTGAGGATACTAAGACACTTATGTTCACGTTTGTTATTGTTTACCTGACGGTAAATAATCTGGATCGTTAATCACGTTTCTCGAACGTGAAATCGCGTGACTTGGAAACAGCTATGGCGGACCCACACAGGGAGGGCCTTGTGTCCGTCTCGCCAGTAGAAGATTACAACCCATTGCAAGACGATTTGTGAGTAAAACTTTATCTACACGAACATCAGACATTCTTGCATACATTGCACCCAGGCTGGTTGTGCATTTGGCATGCATTTTTAATTGTGCACATGATATTGATAGTACCCGTCTGCAAAAAATGTCAGTCTGTCCTTGGACAGTTGCAGAGTAACATTCGTCTGAGGATAACATGCATCGCCTAGGCAGTTATTTTTTTTCGAATTTTTCACTTGCTTCTTGTTTGTTATCTAAGAGAGTTTATTGAATGAAAATAATAAATAAATATGTGTCTAAGATGTATATTTGGCTGTAAGAATGGACTATTGACAGAAACTGATAACGTACAGTGGGTTGACAGTGCTGCAACTTGTCTGGTTGTCTTTGCTCCAGTGTTTTTTAATACTGCCACTCCCACATGTCTCTGAGCTAAGTGCATGTTCTGAATATCATACTCAGTTGGTTGCATACTTATATTCAAATGCAGTCGAGTGGAATGAAGCCTCCGAATAGCTGTGGAGCTGAAAAAAATCATCAGATACTGGAGCACCAGCTATATAGGCAAATTTGGCTATACTATAGTACAGTCAAATCTGACTATATATATGTATGGCGAATGTAAACATATAGATGAGGTTTGGTCACATTTCTTTAAAGCAGATCTAAAAAATAGATGATGAAGCAGGTAAGTCAGTGTCAGTAAATTTTTTTGACATATTTACTGTTTAAGAAATTAAAAAAAAAAAAATTATTGTTGCAGTTTTTCAATATCCACATGCATTCCCAATATAGTAACAACACCCACAGCAAGTCAATCCAATATTATGTTATTAACTTATTGTGTTGTATGCAGATGAGCATCCCTTTGGTGCAAGTTCTGGCAACAGGTTTGCTTTCAGCATGATGTTCCATGGCAAAAAATATAACTTATAATTAATGTGAATTATTTGTGTTACTAACTCTCTAGATTTGTCACCCTTTATTTTCGCTGTGTGCACACCATGATCGCGACCAGTTATGGCCCAGTTATTTACAATCTCCTTATATATGCATAGTAAAATTTGAATATATAGCCAAATCTTTCAATTTCGCCAGCTTTACCATTGCTCCAGTGTATCTATTGATGTCAAAGTAACTTAAATTAGACAGGCAGCACATCAGTTTTTTGTTTTGAAATAGATCAAGTACTCTTCAAAATAAGAAAATCCTTTCATTTGTTTTTGAAATACTATGTTAAAATATATTGCCTTTCATAATAATTAAGAAGACTATTTCAGCACATATAACTGGGAAACTAATATAAGTGCCTGCTCAACCCTTGCTGGAAGCATTTTTTCACTCTGAACTTGTTAAACTTCCAATCAAGATGTACACTTGGTTTGTTGTGATAATTTATTAATTGTAGTAATTAAGCTGTAATTTACAATTTTGAAAAAAGAAAAATGTTAAATGGATAGAAATGTTCAAACCTGCACCAATCAAATTCTACGTAGTCATATTATATTAATAAAGAAGTGTTGTTCATGAAACTGTCATTGCTTGTTGGTAGTTTTGACCACGATGTTAAGTATTCTTCTTCTCCTTGTATTGTTTTGTAATGAGTAATTGCGCTAAATTGCCTGTTTTATTTTCAGTCCAATGTCACTGGAGGAAAATGATGCTGATGGTAGTGATGATTTTGATGATGATTCACCCTGTGTATCATTAGATCCAGACAATGATCCAAGGTTTGAGGTAATGAAATACAGTATAACACCTCCTCCAGATCAAAGACGTATGAAACGAGAAAAAAGTAAGCATCAGTCATACACGCATCGAATATCACAAAAAGAACACAAGGAAAAGATAGAGATGAGGAGGAAGTCATTGGGGCGTGGTCCAATGAATGTTATAAAGGAAAGATATGGGGGCCGGGGAGATCAAATGTTTTCAATGCTTAGTGGTGTTGATTCAGATGATAATCTTGAAAGAGACTTTCCAGAAAACGATAAAGAAAAGAAACATAAAGACAGTCGTGAATCTAAAAAGAAAGTGCTGACAACAACAAGAGCTTATGATCGGACATTAAAAAGAACTTCTAGTGATTTAACAGCTCTAAATACTGACACTGCTGAAGTTCCACTGTATTCAACAATTGCTAGACCACTTGACAGTTCAGGAAGGTTTTCTGGTCTGACCAAGTCATCTCCTCTCACCTTAAGTGGTAGTGGAGCATTTGGAAATTTGGGCCTTGGAATGAGCTGGGGTCGTGATTTTAGGAGACAATCAATGGCAAATGTGGAGTGCCCTAAAGATCGTGTGGAGTTTTATAAGATATTCCAGGCTCTTATCCACATGGGTTCACAAGGAGGACGAAAGGATAAGGATGTTAAAGGAAAAGACAAAAATAGTAACCCATACTACCGGCGACAGATGAGTACAGAACAGGAGCTGTTTCAGGAGAGGTTCAGTGACTTTCTTTGGCAGGAACTGCAGTGGGAACTTCATGGTTATAGGGAAGATACACTCAAAAGTGAACGGACCAAAATACCTGAAGTATTAGAAAAAGTTACAAGTTTTAAAATTACCGTGTCTGACAGTGGTGAAGAAATGGTAGACTCGGGTATAAAAGAGATTAATTTGCTTTCTCCTGCTAAAGCAGCAAAGAGAGACTCATCTGAGTACAACACCATGACATTAAGTCAAATATCTATAAAGAGGCAGCTTGAAGCATTAAATCAAGTAGAGGATCTTCTATCCGAATTAGATGCTTTGGAGCAACTGTTTCCCACATCAAAAGCCTTCGCCAAAGAATTTCCTTTATATGGGACACCCAACTTTAAAAACCGTGTGAAATCTTTATATTTATGGCTTAATATTACTAGAGATCTTTGTCACAAAATGAAACTCCTAGGTAAAATACTGGGTATTCAACACCTCAATGATGTATTTTGGCCCATGTTGGACTTTGACACACCTTGCACAGCTGAACCAAGGGCTACATATAGTCATTATCGATCTAGCTTACCAGAGATTCTGGAGCCAGATTTAAGTGATGAGGGAGATATTGAAGATGATGAAGAAGAGAGTAGTACAGATGTTATATCTGGGGAAGACAGAACCCCATCACCACAAATCAAAACATCCAAAAAGGTCCAGTTTTCACTGGGAAGTGCTCGTTCCTCCAGGACTTCAAGTCCAATCACTGTGGAAATGCCAGAGTCATCCACACCCGTCAAGCAACCACCTTCCACGATACGATACTGGACTCCATCCAGCAGTCTCTCTCACATCTCAAGTGAAACCAGTCTTGATGAGATGAGTGTTACTAGCTGTGTCTATAGAAAATATGTAGACAAGACATTGAGGAGAATGGGAATGAACAAAATGCTTATACGATTCCGTGAACTCTTAGATAGAACATTACAGAGAGCTAAGGAAGCTTTACAGATAACAAAGGGATTAAATCTGTCTGACTCCAACAGTAAAGTGAGTATAAAAGCTAAATGCATGAATTGAAGTGAAAAATTAATTTCATCATTTTCATCAATTTAGTGGTTTTATTTAACTGCATATTATGTATTATTTACTATGTAATAAATATAATTGTAGTCACCTGTTGAAGAGAAGTCCCACCTGTCCTCATCACCTGGGCTGGAAATTCTGCCATCGGAAATGACATCCCCAACAACAACAACGATGTACCACCAGAGTATGAGCCAAACTGACCAGGAGCCCTGGGTGACTCACTTTAGTGAGATGGGCCTGCCCTCATTCCGACCTAGCTACCTCTTTCTTCTCAATGTGTTCCTGGAAGTTATACATGAAGCCTTGAGACTTAGACTGGAACAGAGACCAAAAGGGGAGCCATCATTCCTCAGTATTCGACCTGTATGTTAAATTTTTGTTGTACATTAAATTCTCATTCAGCTATAGGAAATGTTTTATCTGACCCTCTTGGGCCTGAAGGACGGGGCCCAAAAGGGGAAATTCAATGAATTCTTTAAAGTCCTACTTCTATAGAAAGGATTGTCCAAATTTGGTCTGACACATTCTTAGATAGAGGAGATTCTGTTTTGTAAAATGGTGAATCTCAGCCCTCTGGGATGGCAGGGGTGGTGCCCAGTAAGGGCACTAGAGCAAATTGCAGGATTCTGTCCCAGTTTGATCTGAAGCATACTTGGGTGAAGGAGATTTTTCATTAGTATAGCTGATGCCCTGGAGGCAGAATAGTGGGGCCCAATGGGGAAATAGATAAAGTCTCTTAGAATTCGTTTCCTTTTAGTTTGGATGAAGTAATTTGAGTTAAACAAAGCCAGTTGAGCGATACAGACCCTATGGGCCACTTATTTTTACATTTATGTGGACAATTATAATGCTAGTTGAGGTTATTGAAAAGAATGCTGTTACAACTGAAACAAGGAAGCACTTTTGTGGAATCTCATGATATACGAACTTCTTATGAAAATTCAAACAGATAAAAAAATTATTCATTCATGTATGAAGTGTGGATTTAAGCTTCTTACTCAGTCTTTTACGTGTACTTCAGCTGCTTCGTGAGTGTAAAGATGTGTTGCGGGGTGCTGTTATTGTGAAGCAGTACTACCAACAAATGGTGGCCTCTGTTAGATCTGATGAGGAGTTTGCTGATGAGGAGGAAAACTTCCCTGACCTAGAACAGTTTGATGATGATATGAGGAAAATGCTGGAAGTAAGGCTCATCATTTTAGTTGTATATACTTTTATGTGATGGAAGTAAATCAAGGATATGTGTAAATTTTATGATTGTTTAAACCTTCTTAACAAGGATGTAAATTTGGCATCAATGTAATTGCATATCTTTGGTGACCAAAGCACATTGGGGATTTACTAATAAGTGCTTGATTTTCAAATTTCCATTCAACCATTTGTCACTGAATTATAAGAAAATGGAAGCAAGTAATAGATTGTACTTACAGATTAAATTTCTTTGAGAATAGGATACAAAGAAAAGAAACTGGGATAAGTTTATGATAAAGACTACCATTTTTTTTTTCTCAGCATGGAGTGACTTTGAGTATATAACATGTCTTAAAAAAAAAGAATTGGGAAAGTTGTTATTAGACAGACACTATGTTTTTTCATGAATTCTTAAAAATCAAAGTACAGTTGGAACTTGTCTTGAAATGGCTTTGAGTCCAAATTCTGTTTGAGTCGAAAGACTTTTTTTTTTCGTCTGTATCTTTGTAATTTTAGTTGGATGACTCAGATTTTATTGAGTCAAAATTTAGGTTGAATCAAGTGATTTTTTCAGTCCTTTCAAATGTAAAGCTTGAGAAAAGTAATTCATTGTCTCAAAATTATTTTTTTTCAAAATGCTGGCACATCTTCTGACACAATCAGTCAATATATACACAGGATAGAAAATCACTTGTGTGCATAACACATGGCTAATTACAGCATATCGGTCCATCGTCCACACAACACTCCAGATAAAAGTTTGCTTCTTTATAAGTGCCAACATCCTGTAGCAGTGACTTACCTGTACATTTAAAAAGTAACTCATTTACACAAAAGATGATAACATTTAGCTTGGTTGCATGCATTTCCAGGCATGATAAAAATTAAATTGTCAAACCAGTACAAACTTTGACGAAACCTTATCCCCACAATTCCAAGAAGAAAATTTTTTTTTTAAGCTTGTTTACTAAAGGACTGTGATCGGGCACTTTGCTAGACTTAGTTCTCGGACAATGAAAGGGTATCAAAAGCAGGTTTTAATTTCTTTCTTTAAAACATATGATCTATATGTGCTTGGTCATTAAGGGTAGTGTACATGTGTGTGGGACGGAACAATGCGAGTACAAATGTATTTGATTTGAGTTGTTATTGCTTTGTTGTTTGGATGGATAAACCATAAAAGGAGAAAGCAGAAATCATTTTGTTTCAGTTTATTTTCTGCCATTGAAATAAATGATTAAATTGTGCATGCTATCGTAGCCTGTACTTCGATCAACCACAGTCAACATCAGGACTGATATTGTCAACCTTATTTGGACACTTTGTTAGAGTTGAATTTCAGAAATTCAGAATTTCAGATATCCTCCATGGTCCCTTGAATTTCAAGATAATGAGTTTTGACTGTAATATAACATAAGCTCTTGATGCAGTTCTTTTTTCAAAGTAAGAGTCCTTAGTCTGTCAGAATTCCCTTTTCAGATCTACTTCACATACATCCAGAACTGGTTAATAACATTACAAAACTTGCCTGAGGCTTCAAGGAGCCTTAAAAATGTACTGGAGCAAGAGTGGAGCTTCACAAAACAGATCTGTCCCCATGTTAGGGGAGGTGAAGCAGAGGCAGGAAAACGATTCAGGTAACCTCAGTGAAATCCCCAGTTGAAAACTCCAGGTTATGATAACAAATACATCTATTTGTTTAAAAGGAAAATCTGCAAAGTAGTTTCAGTGACAGTTCAAAACTTTCACTCCTGATTTTTTTTGGAAAATCAAGCATTAGTTTAATATTTCATCACATGCATGATTGTTGAACTTTATAGGCTTGTAGTTTGAATGTGAAATTAAAATAATTACTGAAAAAAATATTGTTGGTAAACAGTTGTCTGGTTTTTAGTTCTGTTTTGTTCTTGCTCTTCTTGACAATTTCTCTCTGAATTCATTTTACCAATCGATGTCCATCGACTTGAGTCATTCTTATTTCTGACATGACCTCAGCTGATACATTCACTTCACTTTTTACCTTTACAGCTCACTAGCAAGCAGTCTGCTGTATTCTATTGCTGATTTCCTGGATTCTGGAATTGACGATTTCAGTATTTCACTTTATGATTGGACAATTCAAGATGATGATGATGATGATGAAGATGATGATGATGATGAAGAGGATGATGAAGATGAGGATGAAAGCATGAAAAATGATGGTGCTACAGGAACTGACAATGAGAGAAATGAGGAAGACAAGGAAAGAGAGGAAAAGGAAAAATCACATATATTAGAGCTAAGGTATGCAGCTGTTATCTAAAGTTATCCTGAGCCAAACACTAAGCTACTTAGAAGTCTGTTTAATATCAGCAAGAATTTTAACTGATTTCTTGCAGAAGACGCAATTAACTCATTTTGTAAAATAGAAATGTTAGGAGCAGAAGTGATATTCAGTTTCAATGTTTTGATATATAATATATGAATGATATATGTTAGAGGTTGGATAGTGAGGTATTGTTACAGAATTTAATTTATACTGACATGTTTATTCATGCTTCATAATATGACTCTCTTCTTCGAATGTTTTAGACATTCATTCCAGAAAACCTCGAGAAAGTGTAAAAGTTTGTTCAACGAAGCTCGTGAGAGAGCATCAAAAGCTCTGGGGTTTGCCAAAACATTAAGAAAGGTATGTGGAAATCATTTTGGTTCTAAATCCAAGTTTTGGGATACTATCAGAATACCAAACCCAGGTCTTTTTTTTTTTTTTTTTTTTTTTTTTTAAGAAATTAATACATTGCATATAAAGATTTACAGTCAAACTTCTATGAATCAAACTTCAATGATTCAAATTTCTGGATGTATCGGAGTTTTTGTCCGGTCCTGAATTTTTTTCCTATATATTACTACTAACTTACCTCCTTTATGAATCAAAGTTTTATATATGGAACTTTTTTGTCAGAACATCAGCAAACACTTTTGTAATTTTCTACGACTGACAATGTGTGATATCAGTGCTGTCGTTTCTGGACAGAACACATTATGATATTAATTTGCTCTTTTAAGTTCGTTTGTACCTATAACTTTTATGTATCAGTCTTGAAATAATTGCTGTAACACTTGAAGACCACTTTAATGCTGCTTGTTGTTTCATTTAAAATTGTTCTATAAAATACATATACTGTGTGACCAGAATGCACAAATGTAACCGTAAGCATGCGTTACCAATTTTTCGTTGATTTCTATTCAAAGTTATTTTTCTCTTTTCATGGATGATAAAAATGCATCTTTTCATTTGAACTTGTGTTTTGGTATTTGTTGTGCTTGGTCAGGTAGAAATATTTTGTCAGCAATTATAAATATCCATGAACATGAAAAATAACCCACCTCATATGATTCAAAGTCATGATATATCAAAGTTTTTTTGGTAGTCCCTTGAACTTCGAAACATCGAAGTTTGACTGCATTATTGAAACATAGGTAGATGTGGTTGAATTTGGAGTGCTGGAGTCATGTTGATTTTAGCCTTAATGTTTTCAATTACCTGTTGGTTTGTCCTCCTATATATTCCTTTGGTATTATAATGAGAAGTTTCTATTTTGGACAGGACCTAGAAATAGCTGCAGATTTCAATATTGCAGAGACAACAGTAGAGCTGCTGGAAAAATTGCAGGAAACTTACCATGTCATGGTATGATGGAGTATCCTCTCATAATGTTATCATCTTAACTCTAACAAATGCTGTCATACTGTTTAAAGGATTTCCCTTTTATAATATATTTTGTTATATCACTATAATGGTTGATGGCCCTAATTACCTTATATGTGTTGATGGGCCGTTCAGCATATAATAATAATAATGACAACAATTGTTATATCACTTGTTTTAAGCTTTGGTAATGGAAAACCTGCTATTCATTCCATTCAGTGGGATACATGATTGTTTATGATTTTAATGTTGTAAATATTAGTCAGTTAGTAAACATTGACCTAAACATTATATTGATTTTATTATTGTACACTTAGGTGGAAGCCCCCCTGAATCCAGGCTACCTCATGTTCATCCCATCTAGCATTGTGGACAGCCGCCAGCTCATCATACAGTTACTGAATGTGACATGTGGGCGGGAGGACCTGACAGGATCCCATGACATCAACCAGAGGGATGAGGGTTACCTCCTCATGGTAAACTGTAGTGGGGGAACTGACCATAAGGATGAGTGTCCTTTGTGGTCAGGGGAGACAATCCAGGTAGAACCCACTGCAGATACAGCCATTGCTCTCTCACACATTGAGGTAAGTTCTGATGATCATGAAAGGTAAAAGTAGGAGATAATACCATGTGATAGTTGACTTATTTGAGGACATTACATTAATAGAAGTCGAGTGTTCAGGTTGCCTTATTTCGATGGCTAATGGAAATTTCCCTTTAGTCAAACAGTAGAGTATCTGGCAAGAGACTGAAGGGCTGCTCATTCGAACCCAGGCGGTGACAGGGTGTTTTTCATTTCTCTTTCCCGTTACACAATAATTGTATCTGATCATGTGGATTGGGATTCCTAACCTAGATTCTTGAATGTTTCTTGACATTACCGACACATGGTAAACTAGTTGAAAATAAGAGGAGTAAATCAACACACGGTACTCTAAGGTCTTCATGATTGCTTTCTCTGGCAATGTCAGATTATGCCTTGTTGTTATGATAAATTTCTCCATTTTCAATATTGATCATATACTTGTACATGACAGATGACTGCATGTTTTGGCTAGTATCAGTATTAATTTTCATGATAAGGTATTGGCGATTTATGAATATACCAGTAATAAGATCATAAAAGTTATCTGATTGAAAAATGAGGTGTATCATCATTTTTGTAGCTATGGTTGTTATGTGCTAGGTTTATTGTGACTTACATTTTGTGTTCTGTAGGTTGATGGTCTCCTGTTAGTTGTGATCCATTCCTCCCACCTTATGACACAAAGGAAAGAATTTGAGCAGCTAATGGGTAAATCTGTAGCTTTGGTCAATGAACAGACATCCTGTCATCAAGCTATTGCAGAATCACTGGGAGAACTCAAGGTAAACTAGAGGACATTATATTTTTCCATTTTTTCAAACATTACACTCAACATTTTACTAACAAAAATAATTGTATTACAGATGATGATGACCATGTGAAATTGAGTCTTTTGATAAAGATTTACTTACCTTGTAGTATTCAGTGTTGTTTGTATGTTTTACTGTAAGGTTGCTTCTTTTCAACACTGTAGGAGGCAGCGGAACGGCTACAGGAGAAGGTGGTGGCTGCCATTAAGGAGGTAGACACCAAACTCAATTTTGATGACATTGCGAAACTTGAGGACAATGAAAGAAACCACCTTCTGAACCTCTACAGAGAGACTATGCTCAAGGGATACAACTTTGGATTTGAGGTGAGAATTCACCTTTTTCTTTATATCCTCTCTCATTTTGTCAGTTCTTCCTCTTAATATCCATGAGATATGCACGGTTGTGTCATTATTTGTTCATTCCAAAGGCTTCCCTCATATTTTGATCTTTTTTAGTGATAACTGTTTGCATTGCATACCTGACTGTTTTACATAGAGGTTTTGTTGTGAAAGTGAGATAGGTTATCTATGGCATCCTGCTTAAATTTACATTTATCTGTGCTTTCAAATCCATGTCTAATTTACCTGGTATATTACCACCTTATCAACTCTTGACAATTTTGGACCAATTGATTGCTAAACATCAAGTTGTCAAAAAAAGTTAGGGCAATATCAGTTTTGATTCATTTATTACTTTTTATTAACAGTACCTGCGGGAAGTGACTCGCCTTGTTACAGGTGAGCCACGTCAAAACCTAGGACGTCGGCTTGTCAACTTTGCCCAAGATTGGATGAACTTTGTGATGGAGAAATGTGAACGTGGAAGAGGGATGAGACCCAAGTAAGTAATGGTTTTGAAAGTTTCGGCAAGGCATTCACAAATCATCCAACCTCTCATACTTTCATTCTTAAATGGTGGAAAGTATAATAAATATCAACGGATGAGTCAGATTCTATGTCTGTGACTAAAGAATTTTTCTATCAAATTTTCAGTGGGCTGTAGATTTTAATTATAGTTACCTAGAATGATGTTTTAACACCTGAGACACTGTATTACTGTTTAATGCTAAGTAAAATGTTGTTTCTGTAGGTGGGCGAGTCAAGGCTTTGATTTCCTCATCACAGCTTGTGAGCCGAGGGTCCTAGCATATCTTAGTGTGGAGGAGTTTGAGGTAAAATGTTCTTAGCACTGTTACTGTAAAAACTTCTCTGGTTTTGTTAGAAAACATTGGATTAACTACCATGATACTAAATGACTAGTAGATCAATAAATATAGACAACTTTCATTTATCCAACTTAATTAAATTTCAAGTGGAAATACCTCGAAGAAAATTGATGTATAATGCTGTTGTTAGAATGCGCCTTGATTCTGAGAATTTCTGCCTTTTAAACAACACTTTGATATTTGTATTGAAAGTTTATAGTCAGCAGAGTTACTGGCAGTGAAAGAGGCTATGATTATCAATAGTTAATAACATCCCTGCGATGTTATTGCACTCAGACTTGACAGGATTGCCTCATATGGACAACTTCAGTGATGGTCAACATTGACATGAAATGTTTTTTTTACAGAAATTGAAACATGATATTCACAACTGTATTTCCCATGTTATTGGTCAAGCGGAAAAGTACACGCCAGTCAGTCCAACTCATGGTAAGTCAGTATCAGATACCAGTGTTTGGCCTTGTCTCTCCAACTCAGGTGAAATCAATATCAGACATCAGTGTGTGGCTTTGTCAGTCCAAAGCATAGCTAGTCAGTATCAGACATCAGTGTGTGGCTTTGTCAGTCCAACTCATGGTAAGTCAGTATCAGATATCAGTGTGTGGCTTTGTCAGTCCAACTCATGGTAAGTCAGTATCAGATATCAGTGTGTGGCTTTGTTAGTCAAAATCATAGCTAGTCAGTATCAGACATCAGTGTGTGGCTTTGTTAGTCAAAATCATAGCTAGTCAGTATCAGACATCAGTGTGTGACTTTGTTAGTCAAAATCATAGCTAGTCAGTATCAGACATCAGTGTGTGGCTTTGTTAGTCAAAATCATAGCTAGTCAGTATCAGACATCAGTGTGTGGCTTTGTTAGTCAAAATCATAGCTAGTCAGTATCAGATATCAGTGTGTGGCTTTGTTAGTCAAAATCATAGCTAGTCAGTATCAGACATTAGTGTGTGGCTCTGTTAGTCCAAAGCATAGCTAGTCAGTATCAGACATCAGTGTGTGGCTTTGTTAGTCAAAATCATAGCTAGTCAGTATCAGATATCAGTGTGTGGCCTTGTCTCTCCAACTCAGGTGAAATCAATATCAGACATCAGTGTGTGGCTTTGTCAGTCCAAAGCATAGCTAGTCAGTATCAGACATCAGTGTGTGGCATTGTCAGTCCAACTCATGGTAAGTCAGTATCAGATATCAGTGTGTGGCTTTGTCAGTCCAAACCATAGATAGTCAGTATCAGACATCAGTGTTGTGTGGCTTTGTCAGTCCAAAGCATAGCTAGTCAGTATCAGACATCAGTGTGTGGCTTTGTTAGTCAAAATCATAGCTAGTCAGTATCAGACATCAGTGTGTGGCTTTGTTAGTCAAAATCATAGCTAGTCAGTATCAGACATCAGTGTGTGGCTTTGTTAGTCAAAATCATAGCTAGTCAGTATCAGACATCAGTGTGTGGCTTTGTTAGTCAAAATCATAGCTAGTCAGTATCAGACATCAGTGTGTGGCTTTGTCAGTCCAAACCATAGATAGTCAGTACCAGATATCAGTGTTTGGCCTTGTCAGTCCAACTCATGGTAAGTCAGTATCAGATATCAGTGTGTGGCTTTGTTAGTCAAAATCATAGCTAGTCAGTATCAGATATCAGTGTGTGGCCTTGTCTCTCCAACTCAGGTGAAATCAATATCAGACATCAGTGTGTGGCTTTGTCAGTCCAAAGCATAGCTAGTCAGTATTAGACATCAGTGTGTGGCATTGTCAGTCCAACTCATGGTAAGTCAGTATCAGATATCAGTGTGTGGCTTTGTCAGTCCAAACCATAGATAGTCAGTATCAGACATCAGTGTTGTGTGGCTTTGTCAGTCCAAAGCATAGCTAGTCAGTATCAGACATCAGTGTGTGGCTTTGTTAGTCCAAAGCATAGCTAGTCAGTATCAGACATCAGTGTGTGGCATTGTCAGTCCAACTCATGGTAAGTCAGTATCAGATATCAGTGTATGGCTTTGTCAGTCCAAACCATAGATAGTCAGTATCAGACATCAGTGTTGTGTGGCTTTGTCAGTCCAAAGCATAGCTAGTCAGTATCAGACATGAGTGTGTGGCTTTGTCAGTCCAACTCATGGTAAGTCAGTATCAGATATCAGTGTGTGGCTTTGCCAGTCCAAAGCATAGCTAGTCAGTATCAGACATCAGTGTGTGGCTTTGTTAGTCAAAATTATAGCTAGTCAGTATCAGATATCAGTGTGTGGCTTTGTTAGTCCAAAGCATAGCTAGTCAGTATCAGACATCAGTGTGTGGCTTTGTTAGTCAAAATCATAGTTAGTCAGTATCAGATATCAGTGTGTGGCTTTGTCAGTCCAAACCATAGCAAGTCAGCATCAGACATCAGTGTGTGGTTTTGTCAGTCCAAACCATAGCTAGTCAGTATCAGACATCAGTGTGTGGTTTTGTCAGTCCAAACCATAGCTAGTCAGTATCAGACATCAGTGTGTGGCTTTGTTTGTCAAAATCATAGCTAGTCAGTATCAGATATCAGTGTGTGGCTTTGTCAGTCCAACTCATGGTAAGTCATATCAGATATCAGTGTGTGGCTTTGTTAGTCAAAATTATAGCTAGTCAGTATCAGACATTAGTGTGTGGCTTTGTTAGTCAAAATCATAGCTTGTCAGTATCAGATATCAGTGTGTGGCTTTGTCTCCAACTCATGGTAAGTCAATATCAGACATCAGTGTGTGGCTTTATCAGTCCAAACCATAGCTAGTTAGTATCAGATATCAGTGTTTGGCTTTGTTAGTCCAAATCATACCTAGTCAGTATCAGATATCAGTGTATGGCCTTGTCTCTCCAACTCATGGTAAGTCAATATCAGACATCAGTGTGTGGCTTTGTCAGTCCAAACCATAGCTAGTCAGTATCAGATATCAGTGTATGGCCTTGTCTCTCCAACTCGTGGTAAGTCAATATCGGACAACAGTGAATTGCCTTGTCAAATCATACATAATTGTGTGGCCTAAAAATAGATAATTTACTTTTTCATTACATGAAATGTCAGTTAAAAGTAAAATTTAAATACCATGTATGTATTTTCGCTGACAAATGTTATTTTCCACTGACCTTGATTTGTATGTATTCCAGGTCCTATGCACATGTCACGCTCATCCAACAGTGATCTTGGCAGTAGTCGTCAGCCTCCTTACCTCCGCTTTCCTTCCTGGCCTGAGCAACAGGGCAAGGTTTCAAGGTCACTATCAAATCGATCAGCTCAGAGTGAGCCGCCCAATACTCCACAGTCAGCTGAATCCAGTAAGTACTTCTATGATGTCTCTATTATTTTAGGCCAAATTTTCCTGCTTGATACAGTATTGCTTTTGGTTCTTTGTTTTGCTGGGACAATGATGCAGGAAGATGAGTGTCGTGTTACTGAATTTGGTTGTGTTCACAGAAATATGATTTGCTTGAAATGCCTTACAATCTTCAGGATTAAATTTCATGATATTGCAAGGAATGTTTTTATCTAACCAGTTATTGAACTTTAGATATACTGCATGTTATTGAAACTGAATTAATTTCCTATCATTATCCTAACCTCCACCTCCAAATCTATCTCTGTCAATTTTACTGAGTATTTATTGGTCAATATATCACAGTCATCTATAGGAAATTTTTCTGACCCCTTTACTGTCATGCAATCCAATGACAACTTGAACCAGTGTATTTGGAGGTTACTGTTCAGGTTAGACTTTTAAAAGCTGTAAAGGCAAAAAGCAGCGTCTTTCTAATTTTAGGTTAATTATGTGTATTTGTTGATATCAACTTTTAATAATGGTTGTGGATAGATGTATTCAGCCAGAAAATGTCTTGTCTTTTTATGGTAATCATTTTGTCCATATTTGTGTGTAAAATACTTTCATAACAAGAACATGACAAAATTGCAATAGAAAATACTCTTCTATCATTGCCTTTCATCCAAGACCAGGATAATAGAAGAGAACAACTTTAAGCTTTTCAAAATCTCAAAGAGTCAAAATTCAGATGAAGTGAAAAAATAAATCACTGATGCTAAAAGTACACCCTTTCAACTTTAAGGCTATGGCGTAATGCATATTTTGCTAGAAATGTTTTATTATTGCATGGGTGTGAAATTATAATCTTGTTACCATTAGTTACTTCTCTCTTTTAAATAAATGAATACATATTGTTCACTTCTGGTTCTTCTCTGATTACCTAAACACTTCTAACAATATCTTATTCACAATGTCACTTTAAAACTTAATGATAAATAATTTTTGCCTGCATCTTCTACAAAAGAGATAAATCTACAATTTTGGGGTTATTTTAATATTCATCTCAATATCAAAGGTCAAATAAGTGAAGGGTTTTCTTTTAAATGTTGGCAAGTCTATACTGTCAATTTTCATGCAGTGAAGAATGATGAGGTCACTGTGGCCTTCATCATGAGTTCCATGTGAAATACTTCAGTGCAAATTCTTTTTGGGACTCAAAATTTGAAAAAAAAATTCTGAAAAAAAAAGAAAAAGAAAAAAAATGAAATATCATGATGGCCTCTGAAAGTAAACATACCAGTATGTATTAAGGATGGGAATTCTTTTTCTTGATTGCTAGAATCACAAGTTTATCTGTTATTCACTAACATCTTCTTTGTTGTATATATATACACTTATACATAAATACTTCACATTTATAATATTTCACAAGTAGAATAATTTCAAATATATTCACAATGAAATCTAATAATTTTAGTACTTCACTACACACACTGTTGTGAATGTTGCTAACTTAACATAGAACATTAAAAACAGTGACAAAAACCCAAACATTAGTATCATGTGTGCTGTAAAATTGAGTAAGTACATAGTTGAAATATCAAATCTGCTTTGTAAAATTTGTAGCACTCTCTGAAATTTGGTATAATATTGAATGACATCCCAGCTGATGGAAATTAGTAGCAGGTCTTTATATCCATATCTTTCTCATCTTAATTAAAAACAAAATGTCCTATTCACTTTTCATTCCTAGTTTTGAATGTGAACGAAGCATACATGCTGTTAATTTTCTCTTTTACTGATGATTGTTTCCTTTCCTGGCTTTATATTTGTCAACATGTCTTTTGTGATGCAAATCAAAGAAGTGACATATTGGCCTTACTACAGTAGTACATGTATCAGAGCATTGATTGAGTAATGATATAAATTATAAGTTTAATATGTCGATAAGTATGATGGAATTGGGCCGAAATGTGTCTGAAGGAATAAAATAAGTGTAGGGGAACACCAGAATTGTAATTTATACATAAGTGTATTTGTATTTTATGTGATCCATTGATCTTTCTGACATTAAATTATGTTTGAATGAAACTAAACAAAATCAGCCAAGTGCTCTTGACATGATTTATAAGAATATTCATAGGCTGATAGGTAATTTATGCATTTATAAAGTAGTAGAGTATAATGTTTGTAGGCAAATTTTATTTCGCCAATATGTCAGTTATTCCTTTGAATTTGTATCACAAAACGCTGGTGCATTGTGTCTCAGCACATTCTAAGTGTGGCTTCTTGTGTATATATATAAACTTTCTTGTCAGGGTCAGGGTATAAGCGTCTCTCGACAGATTACTCCCCGGAGGTAGATTTACATGATGGTGAGGATGGCCCAACACCTGATATCTTCATGAGGAGACGCAGCAGAGGTAGCTTGCCACAGGTTTTAACATTATGTGTTGGGAAATATGCATGTATAGAATTAAACTGCAGATTTTCAGTAACTGTTCTTCTGTTTTCACTACATTTTAAGCCATCTAACCCAAAGGGTCAAGATAACTGATTTCTATTGTGCATCATCAGTCGTTGTGTGTTGTGTGCTGTGCGTCTTCCACTGTCTGTAAACTTTTACTTCAAAGCATAACGCTTTGGCAGATTTCAACCAAATATGGTCTGAAACATCATGGTGGATGAGGGATCGTTTCTTAAACTCAGAAATTTGTTTTGACCCCTAGGGACCTGGAAATGGGGCCCCAAAAGGGTAGTTAGATAATACTTTGATTCAAAATGCTACTCTTACTTAATGCTTGAATTGGTTATATTCAAGTTTTGTCTGTAACATCAGTAGGGTTTGGGGTAACAAATTTAATTCAGACATTTAATTCAATCCCCAGGGATTTGGGGGCAGGCCCCATTACTCCTTCATAAAACTGGGTAGATTTTAACCAGATTTGGTGTGAAACATTATTGCAGGTGGGTTATAATTTCTTAAATTCAGAAAATTGATTTGACCCCAAGGAATCGGGGGCATGGCCCCAAATGGGAAAGTTAATCAATGATTTTGCTTCAAAATGCTATTGTTCCCAAATGCTCGAATGGATTTATACCAAATGCAGTTGGAAATATCATCATGGGAATTCATCATATTTTTCAGACATCCATTGGCAAATTCTGTGGTTTGTCCATACAGTCATCGATTGTCAGATGACCATTAAGGGCCATGGCCCTCTTGTTGCTATATATATTCTGAAAGCATGAGTGATTTGCTAAATGTAGTTTTCTTTATATATTTAGTATATATGTGCTAGTGGTCTGTATTTCTGTAATACAGTTTGATGAAAGTTTCAGAGTTAAGTTTGAAAGAGTGAAACTCTGTTGGTGTAGGATATTGTTTATTTTTATTACTTGCTCATTAGTTCATGCCCACTCAAACACTATCGCCTAAATATAAGTAAATGAAGCTTATCTCTCTGTACTTTAGGCAAGATCTATATAAGACGAAACTGTATGCTACTATAAGAGATTTATGAATGAAAGCTTGCCTGAGAAAATAAATTTTTTGATTTTAAAAACTGTGTTTTACATTTCAAGTACTAGTTCTTTACTTTTATTACCATAGAGTTAAATCAATTTGGCAATTTCCCTGTTTGTTTATTCCATTACTTAAAAACTATATTCAGTGAATTCAGCATAGCATAAAGAAATTGATGTAGGTTTTACAATGCTTACATAGGTTTGGAGACATGAACATTTGTTAACTTAGTTTAAAAGGACAGAGTGAAAACTTGATCAGAGAAAAAAAAAGGTGTTACTTAACCATAAGGTATAGCCATTATTATTGGCTGTGACAAAGGAATGGATGGGAAACAAAGTTTGTAATTTTCTGACTGCATTCATACCCATTATTATAGAAGCTGTATTTTAATTGCTCAATTTTTCTGGCTGAAAGACATGATTTTTTCTTTTCGAATTGGTGAGAACTATAACAGTATTCAGACTGACTTGAAATTTTGGAAAATCATAAAAATTGCTTTCCATTGTGTAAAATGTCATTTTGCTAATTGAATCTACTTTGGTTTCTAAATTTTCATCTTTAGAGAAAAAAATGGAGACAAGACCGAAAAGTCTACAAAATGATTATTAATTTCTAATAACCACTTGCATGAATGTAGATGCTACATAAAATATTTGGATCACTGAAGTAGATTTTTATCTCATTCTTGAAATAATATTGTGTTTGTTGTATTTTGAAACTCATTTAATGACTTACTGGTCATGAAGCTGTGTTTCCACATCTTTTTCAGAAAATGTATTCTTCAATTCCAATTTTTCAACATGTTTCTTCAATTCATATTAAGTAGTTCATGAAATCATTGCTATATGTTCAGATATTTTACTAATAAATTCATTAAAAGTTTTCTCTCTTATCATTTCAGCAAGTTCTGGTGACCTAGGAAATCCATTGAATACTGTTTCTCGTCGGGAAAGGTTGATGACAGCTATTGATGATTTAGAAAACACTCGAGATGAAAGACTACAAGAAAAGCGGGTGGTAGGAAGAAAGACCAGTCGGAGAAACGAACCTGAACAGCGTATTAGTGCACGACGAGTGAACTTCCGGTGGCAGAGGGGAACAAAAATAGGTATTTGTAATACGTAATAGTTATTGTATAAAGATTGTGATTTGGATAGGTTCTGTAGGATCAAGTTCATAGGAATGCTATCAGTTTTCCTGCACAGAAAAAATTATGTTATTTTCATAACAATATAAATGTATGTTTGTTCATTAAAAATATTCTCGTTTGCAGATTTTAGGAAAACATTGGGGATATAATAAGTGTTGAGCATTGTTTTTCTGCCTTTGTCATGAAGACATTGTGTGTCACTCACATTGTCTGTTTCTCCAAAATGCTTTTCCTTCTGCTGTTGTACCACACTTTCAACTTTTGTTAAACTGATCATTTCTTCCATCAAAGTAATGTGGGTGTTTTTAAAATGTAAATTAATCTGTATTTCAATGTTTCAGGGGAAGGTCAATTTGGCAAAGTATTCTCAGCTGTTAATATGGATACTGGTGAACTGATGGCCATGAAAGAGGTGAAGTAATTTCTTGTATACTATGTTGTTTCTGATTTTGTATAAGGTATACTATATATACAGTAATCTCCACTCCCCCGTTTTATCATCAACCCTGCGTATAGCCATGATTTTGCTTAGAATGTTTTTACTACTATATAAAACCCTTTTAGTTATGTCATCTTCTGCATACCCTGCCAACCATTTTCAGATATAAAAGTATCAAATCCCTCAACTATATTGCCATTGTTAACAAACTTTGCTTCACTGGATAACAAGAGTTAAAAGATCAAATTGAAATTATGTTTGATTTTCCACTTCGGTATATTGTCTTTGTTCCAGTTGTACATAAGCAAATTTTACTGCATACGAGTTGTGTCATAGGTTGTTGTACTGAAGCTTGCCACCCCGTTATACTGTCAAAATTGGCACAGTACAGAAAGTGACAATATAACCAGGACTATTGTATAAAACATCGTGTAGTGTGCTTCAGATTTATACTGTAGGCTGCTGTTTTTAGGTCGTCTGAGCCGAAGGCTCATGGTGACCTATTGCAATCATGATTTGTCTGTCGTCGTGCGCCGTGCGTCGTTAACTTTTCACATATTCGACTTCTTCTCAAGAACCACTGAATAGATTTTGACCAAACTGGGAAGCCTCTTCAAGTTTGCGAAGAAAAAGGGCATGGCACAAATAGGGGCCCCATGAGGGGGGAAAAGGGGGTAAAATTAGGTAAATCTTTAAAAATCTTCTTCTCATTATTATAGCATGGTCTACAAAGTTAGCGAATGAAAAAAAAATCGGGTCAAAAACGGCCCCACTAGGGGGCGCTCAAAATGGTCAAAAATTCAACTTTGACCGATTTCAAGCAAATTTGGTTGAAAGCATTCCTTAGTGAAGGACATATGAAATTATGTTGAAAAAAGTGATTATGTTCCCTTTGGGTCCCATAAGGGGTGTAAAAGGGGCCATATGTAAAAACCTTCATTAAATGACTTCTTCTCAAGAACCAGTGGATGGATTTTGACCAAACTTGGCACAAAGAATCCCCATGGGAAGCCGCTTCAATGTTGCGAAGAAAAAGGGTGTTGCCCCAGTGTGGGCCGCAGGAGGGGGAAAAAGGGGGTAAAATTAGGTAAATATTTAAAAATCATTTTCTCATGAACCAACAGTCATATTAAATTCATATTTGATATTTAGGGTCCTTATGGCAAGGTCTACAATGTTTGTGAATGAATAAAAAATCGGGTCAAAAATGGCCCCACGAGGGGGCACTCAAAAGGGTAGAAAATTCAACTTTGATCGATTTCTACCAAATTTGGTAGACAGCATCCCATAAAGGGTGCAAAAGCGGCCATATGTTAAAACCTTCATTAAATGACTACTTATCAAGAACCAGTGGATGGATTTTGACCAAACTTGGCACAAAGCATCTGCATGGGAAGCCGCTTCAAGTTTGCGAAGAAAAAGGGCGTGGCCCCAATAGGGGCCCCAGAAGGGGGGGAGAGGGGAAACTTTATATGAATGTTCTACACAAGGTCCTGGCAAGTGTTTTAACTTTTTTGGGCGATTCAAAATCCAAGATGGCCATCCTGGCCTCTGTTTGGCTAAGACATTATGGACTTCCTCTCAACAACCATTGGGTGGGTCATGTTCAAACTTGGTACAGATGTTTTACACATGGTCCTGCACAAGTGTTGTTACATTTTTGCAACATTTTAAAATCACCAGATTATTGACATATATTCCTCAGGTGATCGTTAAGGCCCCTTGGGCCTCTTGTTATTTCAAACCATGTTATTTTTTTTTTTACAGATGAAGTTTCAAATCAATGATCACCAAGCATTAAAAGAGATAGCAGATGAGATAACACTATTTGAAGGGATCTTACACAACAACCTTGTGAAATATTATGGTGTTGAAGTGCATAGAGTAAGTCAATTAGTGTTGTAAATGATACTGTATCTTGTTCAAACCAAAACAGCAGGTTGCTGCTGAACACTTGTTAAGGTAAAAAACATATTTGTTTCAGTTGACTTCTTCGATTTCAAAGTGATGAGCACTGTTAAAGCCTGAAACATCTCTCTCTCTCTTTGTGTGAATATTGACAACATGCCAAACTTCATTAAGTTTTGAAAAGCCGTCAGTATAAACAATGAAATGTTAACATGTACTTCAGATAACTCAGAAGTTCTTGATAAATACATGTAATGCTGTTGTGATTAAGATGTGTTAAACCTCTCCATAGATTTGATGAATACTATGAAATATTTCCTACTTTTTGTTTGTTTGGTTTTTGTAGGATGAAATGTTAGTATTTATGGAGTATTGTGACCGAGGAACATTAGAAGAAGCAGCTAAGATGGGTCTTCCAGAATCACTTATCCGTATTTATACCAAAGAGATTCTGTTGGCGGTCAACCATCTCCATGACAACAACATTGTACACCGGGATATCAAAGGTTATAAATCAAAAGTTTAACTGGGAATAAGATTTTTTTGCACAAGAGAAGAAAATTTAATCTAATGAATGAAAGTAGCTTTTCCTTTCATTAGAAGCAGGTAGCTGATAAAAACAATTGTCCTATAAAAGATGTATCGGACTTTCAATAAAATTTTCACAAAGTTTACTGACGTAACTTCAACTTGAAATCTAATTAGAATGCCTGTTTGGTTCATTTGCAATAATTTTTGTAAGTGTTTTCAAGTTTTTCACTAGAAAAAATGGAAAATACATAATTATAGTTAGAATGATTGTATTTGATGTACAATGTTAGCCAATGAGAAAAAAAAGAAAGTAACAATTATTTCATGTTATGAGTTGCTATATGATGTTTATTCTTTCAGGTGCAAATATTTTCCTAACCTCAAGTGGTTGTCTAAAACTGGGAGATTTTGGCTGCTCAGCGAAGTTAAAAAGTCACACAACAATGCCTGGAGAGTTCAACAACCTGGTGGGGACAACAGGTAAACTTTTATATTTGATGGGGATGTCAGGGAAACTTTAATATCTGGTGGGGACAACAGGTAAACTTTAATATCTGGTGGGGACAACAGGTAAACTTTAATATCTGATAGGGATGTCAGGTAGATCTGTATATCTGGTGGGGACAACAGGTAAACTTGTATATCTGGTGGTTATGTCATTTGTATTTCTGGTGGGGATGTTGGGTAAACATGTTTTTCTGTTTTGGACAACGGTAATTTTATATGTATGTCACTAAATGTCATGTACTGGCATTTTATAAAGAATGAATTAATAATATTAGACAGGAGATATTGATCAATTATGAATTAAGAAATATATATCAGACAGGAGATAGTGATCACTTATGAATTAAGATATAAGTATTAGACAGGAGATAGTGATCACTTATGAATTAAGATATAAGTATTAGACAGGAGATAGTGATCACTTATGTCACTGAATTTGTTTTTATGGAGGGAACACACTCTTACTTGTCAGAAGTTACAATTATTTCCTGTAAATGTTATCAGGAAAACTGAAAAAGATTATGTGAAAATGATTTTATTTCAAATACAGTATACTACAATCGTAAAGGAAAAAATATTGCAAATTGAAAATTTTGCCTTCCAACAATTTTTGTAAGAAACAAGTCAACTTGGTTCATCAGAAATCTACTTACTGGGTATGTTATCAGACAACTGAATAAAAATTCAAATGTCAATGTCACATTTTAGTTATCATCTTATTTTCTACAGACAAATAACATGTGATATTAAGTGGTTTTCACGGTATATTTTACAGCATATTGTTGTTTTCATTTGTATTACTGTACCAGGGTAATATTAAAGAATAAGAAAATGTTTCGTTACAGCATACATGTCACCAGAGGTGATCACTAAAGTTGGACATGGTAGAGCAGCTGATATCTGGAGTCTTGGCTGTGTCGTCATTGAAATCTTCACAGGAAAGGTAGTTTCAAACGAGAGCAGCTTCATTTGATCAAATTGTATTGACCTAAAAAGATTGACAATAGGTAAAAGTTGAAACAGTTTGACAGTGTAATAGTTAAAAGGATTGACAATAGGTGAGGTAATAGTAAAAATGATTGACAGTAGGCAAGGTTGTAAACAGTCAGAAGGAGTCATGATTAAAAAGATTGATGGTAGTTGAGGTTGAAAACAGTTCAATGGTGTAATGTTCAAAAGAATGGGCAATAGGCAAGGTAAAAAAACAGTTGTGCCCTTCGTGGTAAATGTGTTAATATAGAAGGGGCTAGCAAGTTGTTATCACTATTCCAAATAACCTCCGAAATATGTAGATAAATAGAAGGGGCCTAACAAGGTCATGGTAACATGTCACTGTTTTCTGAAAATACACATTAAATATGAGCATGTAGTATCAATTCTGAATACATGTACTTAATTTGTATTACAGAGACCTTGGCATGAGTTTGACAACAACTTCCAGATTATGTTTAAAGTTGGCATGGGAGGAACACCGGCCATCCCGGAAAAGTTGAGCGAGGAGGGCAAGGAGTTCTTATCTTTCTGCTTTGTACAGGATCCTGCAGAGAGGGCATCAGCCAGCTTTCTTGTCGACCACGCCTTTGTAAAGGTCTGATAATACATTGAATACAGACACAGTAGGTTTACATTCCTTATCATGTGGTCGCTGTCAGATTTATTTTTGTTTATATTTATCACTCACCTGGCTCACCTGATCTTGTTTCTGTGATCTTTACAACCTTTTTGTGTCACATCACTTGCCTAAAATTGCTCATTATGAAACCTCAGCAGTATGTTAAATGAGAGCAAGTATGGATTTGTTTTAATTTACATATCAGTGGTAGTATTCTGCTGTCTGTACTTGTCTTGCTTTGGAGCTCGATGAAGGAATTTGTGTTGGTTTTAATACTAATTCAGTCACAATTTATCACCCATGAGAATGACTAAAGCAATATTCAGTCTTCAGATGAATAAATCCTTAATTATGCAGTTATTTGGGTGTGTATGTCATTATCTAGTCTGTCATTTATTTATTGTTGTCATTGACATTGTTAGATTTCAAAATTTATTTAAAGTTGATTTAGGAGTATTAGATTATAGTTTAAACTATAAGAAATACTTGTTAGTGTTCTACTCAAATTCATATACAGAGGTAGTGTTTGCCTTTTGAATTACAAATAAAATAAACAAATAGAAATTCAAATATGAGCGATTAGCGACTCTTCTAGCTTAGTAAGCTTAACATAATCCATCCTGGTATGTTATATGTTAGTAATGAAGTCTTTCAATAAGTCATGTATTGACAATATGTGGGTTTATCTAACAGGTTGACATCCAAGAAACCGTCTCTCATGAGAGAACTGAAGACATAGAATCTCCGTTGGAATGATCGCCGTACAGACACCGTTTGGAAAGGCTGTTGAAGGATTATTTGATCAGGCACTCTAGGTCCTAACACATGTTATAAACAAGAAAAGCTGTCCTATAGCCTTTCATGTTGCCAGTTCATTGAGTCAAAATTGTCACTAAATGTTATGAACATTAACAGTGACCAAGTTTTTGTGATACAATATTTTTGTTGAAATACATTTTATGAATGAGAAGGCCATTGTGATATCTTACAAAAATAAAGTGGCCTTTTCATTTGAAGCTTGAAATAACTGTAAATATTGTAAATGTAAAATATTTAATCTAAGTTATCAACTGTAAATAGTGCTGACCACCAAATTTCATTATCAAATGTGAGGTGGATTTTGTGATATTTTACGGCCGTGTTGCCATAGCAACCACCTCATCTGTGATCTTAAAAGTCTCTTAATTTTTCCACTCCCTACAAACAGGCCCAAATTTTCTTTCATGCCAAGATTCCTCTATCATAGACTGAATAACTTGTTCAGTATCAATATATAATTGTGGGAATAGAAATTGTTGGTGAACACAAAAATTACCAAGTTTTATAAAAACCAATTTAAATATGATGCCATTTTTATCAGTTTTTTCTAAATATGCAAACTTTGCCTAATTTAATTCTTTTGTGTCTTGTGACACACATTTAATTGATAGGATTTTTTTTTATGAAAGATTACTTCTCAAAATGATTTTAATATCTTTGAACAAATTTTAATGTGTGTATATTAACCACAAACTTATGACAATCAGAGGTGTTCCCACATTTGTTAGCTCTCTGAAATGCAGTTAGGTGTTTATAAGTCTATATAATTTTATGGTCTTAATAATGAGTATTTTTACAAAACACCATGTTTCATTTGAAACTTGTCTTCCATTTTGCTCTACATCAATGTTTAAGGTATTAGTGATTTGGACATTTCAGATTAATACTGTATAGCAGGTTATTATCATATGAATGGTTGTTTTGATATTTCACAGGATTTTAATGTGATCATGAAAGTTTTATCCGTGAAAAGTGACAAATGCACATTTTGTCTGCAATTTACACTGACGCTCAGTACTGCTGTCATATTGGCATCATCATCAGCCAGTTCTGAATTGCCAGTCTTGTTTGAGTCAATGTTATTTTCACAGATTTTATGTTACAAGGCACATGAGACTTACAAACACAAAGTGTAATTATAACATCTTTTTATTCTGGACGTACCAGTTTAAAATGCAAATTAATGACGTATAATACAAAACAGAACTGTATTTTTTATACTGTCTAGTCAAGGGGATTTTCCCCCAAAATATTCTCGAATCTAATAACTACAAAATCTTGATGTGTAAAAATTAATTTTCATAAAAATTTAGACCCACTAAAATTACCAGCTATACAGTAAGTTTAGATAAGTTTTATGTTTATGTTTTGACTGTAAGTGTTGATGCAAAACAGAATCTGTAGTGAAGTTCTATTGTGTGTTACATAAGGTATGTCTCTAGATCAAGAAATCTCATATCCTACTTATACAAATATATTGCAAGTGCAGACTTCTTTTGTGGAAGATAGCATCAGTCATAAAAATATTGTGCAGTTGATACATTATACAGTATGACTGAATTAATTGATCTTAATTAAGAATTCAAATGATACCTATGAACACTTACTGTCTTTCCATACATTGAAAAAAATTCCATTGTACATGTCATGCAAGCTTCAGACATAAAAGTATTCTTGAGTTGGAGCAACATATTATGTCTATTATATCTGAAGTGAATGTAATCGAAGATTGAAGCGCCAGTATTTTTTATAAATTCATTATTTTTTTTGTCAGTTATGTTTTTAAAAAGGTAGAAAACATGTCACATTATACTTGACAAAGAAGCAGGTTGATATATTTAAAATCAGAACTCATTTATAGTGGTTTTGATATTTGCGTACTTTTCCATGTGTTGTCAAAATAATGGTTAAATTCATTTCACTTTCACAGGTTAAGGTAGTAAGAGTAACATTTTAGAATTACTTTAATGGTACCCACTTTCCAAGATGATGGCCGAAGTAGACAGTGGAACTTTTTGTGACAACTGAAATAATAAGGTTATGAAGACTTTTAGAGATTAAAGACTAGAGTAAAAAATCACAGGAAAAACTACTACAGCAAGATAGCAAATAACATTATTAAGATTTAGATAATAAGTAAAAATCATTATCTTGGTATTGAACAGGAAACTTTCTTGGCTTTAGCTGTCTTCATCAATTGATTTTTTTAATAATAAAAATAAAAAAACGTATTATAAACCCTCTGCTGTCTAAACAATTAATTGTAGGCTAATAACTTGTTGAATGATGTTATTTATATTCAGCTAGTATTAAAAAAGTGTAATGTCTAAAACTTTACCAAAGCATCGGTGGAAGTTTACGTAACTAGCATTGCTGATTTCACTATACACTTCAGGATTCACATTGTCAACAAATTTTCTCTGGGAAATTATATTTTTCGTAGTTTTGAAATATATCACATGCTGGTACTAAAACAGGGGAAAAAAATCTCAGAATTTTAGTTCATTATTATTATTCGGCTTGCTGTAATATTTATTGATTTTTTTTCTATCTTCATGGTAGTTGCTGTATGTGACAAATATATATTTTGTAGTGGTCTAAACTAGTCATTCCTGATATGTTAAGCTGAAATATGGCAATTTTTGAGAAGTCTGAAGGTAACCTTTGGTTATTACCTTTTTGTCTTGTCGTTGTGCATTGGTGAAAAAATCATATTCTCAACTTCTTAAAAACCCTTACAAATTTTCATGAAATTTTGCAGAAACCTTTCATGACAACAGGTAAACCAAAACGATGAATTATATGGTCCCCATCCCCAAGGGTCTTATTGAAGAGACCAAAAGGGATCAGTTTGACTCAAATTGAAAATTGAAATTTGAAAAATCTTCTGAAACTATAGATGGTAAAATCAAATACTCATCATAGTTGGAAAGGTCTTGAGGTGCTGTATCTAAATTTTAAATTTTATAACCCTAGAATCTCCCCTTGGGGAGGTGTATACTTCATTAAGTTTACATTTTTGTGCCTAATTTTGTTTTTATTTCCTTCAGAAATTATGTAAAATTGGTTAGATTATAAGTATGGGATGACAATTCAGTAATATGAACATACTGACCCCAGGAGGCTGATGGATGGGGCCAAAGTTTTCAGATTGACTCAAATTTTAAAAAAAAATATCTTCTTGACATCCTGATGAGGTAGAGAATCAAAACTATTCTTCATGGATTGGTGTGTCTCAAGATTATTAACTGCAATTGTGAATTTCATGACCCCCATGCCTCCCATGTTCCCCTGGGGAGGGGCTAAGTCTACTTTAAAAAATTACATTTTTGAGCATAATTTGTTTATTTTTCTATCGGAAATGATTCAAACTTGGTTGGAATTATTAACATGGGATGACAGTGAATGTTATGCACTTTTACATTTGCGTTTCATGTACAACGTAGACCATTCTTTATTACAATATTCAACAAATAAAAAAACAATAAAAAACCCCCCCCCCAGCTTTTATAGAACTCAGGTGACAGTAAGGCCCTTGGCACCTTTTTTAATGTTGAAGTTACCAATATAGATTAATGGTTTGAGAACTCTCTGAACAATTTATTTTCAATGTTCATGAGTATTGTGGCAAAATTACTTCATACAAGCAGATGCTTAGTTTAATGCATTGTGTGAAGTTATTTTGATAAATTTCGCTGAACACTGTGAATTCAACCTTGATACATATTTGAATATCTATATATAAAGAAAAATGGTGAAATTGAAAACACCTCTGATCAGTAAAGCATGAAAGCTTTCATATAAAATCTTCAGGCATTTTACAATTAGTTTTGCTACCTCAGTAGGCCAACATATGGTTGCCTACACGGTAACAATATTGATATCATCAATAATTGCTTGATTGTCTAATATGACATCATGAAAATTGGAGATAACTTTGTTTATGTTTATAATAGTCAATTCAATTTTGGTTTTAATGTCTTTATAAAATGACTGTGTTCTCTTTTGAAAATTTCCAAAAATAGATAATTAAAAGGAAATGTACACCCCCCCTATCCACCACCCCACCCCCCCCCCCCCCCCCCCCCCCCCCCCCCCCCCCCACCCCCCACCCCCCACCCCACCACCACCACCACCACCACCACCACCAAATTTCAAAAATGTTCATTTAATATGATTATTTCTGTATTCTGGTACAGTAATGTGTTTATTTGTTTACTTGAATCTGGGCTCTTAAGAGTTACCAGTTTCTGCTATGTAGTACTCATTCCATCCTGGGTGTATTATAACACATTTTTTCTATTCGGAAGACATATATACACACCATAACTTTAAGTTTTACTAAAAAATTATTATTCATGCAAAACATCTTTTTTACTTCAGTCTCTGTTACTCTGTAGATAATTTGACCAGAATTGTGCTAGGATAATACTTCATTTATCGATATGTTTGACTGAATTAAAATTTAGTAGATTGGAATATTGTGAACAGATTAATTTAATTGGTAAATTTGATATGTGTTATGCATGTGTTTCCAACTGTGATATCCAAATAAATTCCTGATTACAAAGAGAATTGTGATAGGGCTGAGAGCAGTGTGGCTTTATATGTTCATTATTTGCAATACGATTAATACAATAAACATTCTTTTCTTTATACAAAGCTGTTCAATGTTCCTTCTCACTTTTGAGGGATTTTTACTTTATTTTATACAAAAATATCATTTTTATGAGGCAGACTTAAACTTTCATTCAGATACTAGAAGGAAATTCTGGATCAAACTTTTGTTTCATAATATGAAATGGTTATATAAAGAAATAAAAACAGATTTTGTAATTGTAATATTTTAATGGTTGTCATTTGTATGATTTAAGAATCATACAACATACAGTGGTTGAAATGACTCCAGAATCATGCAATATGTAATATATGTTATTGTTTTTGCTTGGTATTAATACTGATCGTGATTTTATGCTGCTTTCATGATATGATATAGGATTAATTCTTGGATATCTATATTTGAACCGCTGCTAGCTTAATTTATACTACAAAGTAATACAAAACTGATTATTGGGTGTACATGGGAAGGTAAAAAGACAGAGTTCATATTGTGTGGTCTTGGACGAGTATGAGCAGAATAAAACATAATTAGTTAGGATTTGTTATCCAAGCATGTTTGCAAGAATGTATTGACTTTGAAGACTTTTAACTCTCATTAGAGGGACTTGTTGATGTATGGTTGAGAGATGTGTGTTACATTCTGTATTAAATTGTATGGTAGACATGTGTATATTTGTGATTGTTGTTATAGGAATTATGTTGGAAAGTAAGGTGCAATAAGTCACTGTTCTCATTAAAGTCAGAATCTAACCATTATACACTGGATATGTAGTATGCATAAAAATGAATTCATTATGTTAAAAGTATCACATTGAAATGAGATTTTCATATGTACATGTATATGTAAATACTGGGAAGTGCCTGAAGTATGCATGGCAAACCCCAACGCTATATTGACACTGATTACTTGCCATAGATTGTGACAATTTTTAGCCTGGTGATACAAGGACTATCTAATGTTATAATGAATTGGTTATCCTTAATGGCGCTGTCAGCTATGTTCATATAGAAGTCTTCACTTAATGTTGAGGAAGCAAGGTTTGAAGAATCGGTGAATAGTTCCAGCACGTGTATTTGTCAGTACATGTGTATTGATAATATCTATTGTCCTTACAGTGCCATTAATGACAACTACATATGACAACTAGTCATGACTCAACACAGTGAAAGGTGGTCCAAATATCTGACATATGCAAAATTTGCCATTATGTTATACATTTATATGATAAATATTATATTAATTCATCATATTTCTGTCTCAATTCAAAATGTGCTTAAGATCAATGAAATCTGCTGAAACAATGTCTTTTTTTTAAAAGATATATTTTAAAACTTACATTTCTTTGACACAGATTGAATTTTTCTAAACTAAAAAGAGTAGCATATTTAGTTTTTCAATGACATGTATGCATACTGTTCTGTAATAGGAAGTTTGGTTGTTCAGGTAGTAATTTTAGAAATTGAATTGAAAGAACAATTTTGGGGTGGCTAAATATTTCAGTAAGTTGATCATTAAAATGAAATATGTATGAAAGGAGAGTGTTCACAAAAAGCAAAACTTTCATTAAAACAACAGTTTTTTTCAATATTTGATTGAAGATAGTTTCATGATTGAGGGAAACTGGGTGGTAGTTTGAGTAATTGTACAGAAATAAGATCTGTTTTGTTTTGAATGTAAAGTTAAGGGTACAAGGAAAGAGTTGTATATTTTGTAGAAAACTAATTGTATTTGTGCTAGAAATAATAATGAGAGTGCTGAAGTCCCACAAATTGACTAAGATTGGGTGTGTTAGTATGGTAGGATGCTAATGTCTACACATGTACTTGTTTTGTTGTTAAAATGGTCATTATTGGACAAGATATTTAACTGTTCAACAGTTGATTGTTGTTGAAGGTATATATGTAGCTGTCTACAAGAAAGAAAATTAAATTAAAATGAAAAGAAAATCTTGTTTTTGTTATTTCAGTGAAGGAAATAGAGTTTGTCAGTAGAAGTGGTCACGCTGAATACCGTTACACTTTAACAATATTTCACACATACTTTTTGTGTCCTTATTTCTTTGATAAGTATCAGAAACATGAAAGTACTTTGTAAAATGGCTTTTAGAAGCTTCTGATAATTGAAGAATAGTCCATTCAGAAATTCTTAATTAATATTGATAGCAAAATCCAATGTACGGCTGTGGTAGAAGTGAAATTTCCATATGATATTTTAGAAAGACCCATATACATATAGTGCTTCTTCTGACATGCATTAACAAAATCTATGATGGCTACATCTTCCCCACTTAGCTGTTTTGATCAGTCCTAATATTAACAATTTACAACTACATTTGTGTATTGACCAAGGACAATTTGACTCAAAAGATCTATACACAAAAAAACAGCAGTGGTGGTAGTGGGAACAGTTATCAAGTGGTTAAAACCATTTGGAATAATTTAGCAGTACAGGCAAAAAAATCTCCTCATATCAATTTCTCCACATTCCACAAAATTTCGGCTCAGTTGCACCAGAGAAGTTTTAAAATGTGCTTTTTAAGATGGTGGCCACGTTTGGTTTTGTGAGGATTATTTCTGGCAAGTTTCAGCTGAATCTTACTCGTGGAACTTGAGAAGTTTAAAATAGGTGTAAATCAGGGAAACCATGATAGTGCAATCTTGTTACAAAATGGCTGCAATTTCTGCCATACTGAAATTTTGACCAGTACAAAAAAATAACACATGACGTTTCCTTCCATAATATTCTCACAAATTTTCAGCTCATTTTTGTACCAGTGGAACTTAAGAAGTTTAAAAGTTGACCCAAAAAATAACATTTGGTCAGTGCCATCTTTGGATAAATTTGAGCAAGTTTCAGATGAATCCCAGAATAAGTTTAAAATGTAAAAATTTATGCTCAACGCATAATGATGGACAAAGCATGATGGCTATAGGTCATTCTGACCCTTCAGTTCAGATGACCTATGAAATAATAAATTTTAAAATGACCCTTCCAGCACTTCTCAAGAAATTGCCATAAGAATAGCTAAGGGTGAAGGGTCCATGAAGGAAGGTGATACAAACTACCAACCAACATCAGATGGTGAATTAAAACAACTTAAAAGCAAAACATGTCACTTGAAAATGTTTGAAGGTTTGAATATAGAAGTTATTAAAATCACAAGGGACTCTACTCTAAATAAATTCAGGCAGGTTTAAAGGAGACTGTACTACTCTGTTAATTTTACACTGGTTCCATTATCCAGGGACACAAGCTTCATGTAACTTCAGGTGTGAAGACTTAAAGCTCCAAATAAACAAAGTTGTATTATGAATCAAAATTACTTTTCACTTTTGAATTTTCTCACTCCCTACCAGTGGCAGATAAGGAGATATAGGCCAGTCTGTCCTGATGTGGTTGTGTCCTTGGGCAAATATTTTCACCTTTACCTATGGGCCTTCCTTATGTTGTTCAGGGAGGTAGCCACCAGCTACTACAAGGAAAATGAACCTCAAACTGGCTACTAACAGGGCGGTAATCCAAACAAACTTCAACTTAATTGTGTAAAAGTACAGACGTTATACTACATAAATAAATGAGATAACAGCATGATATCATTTGAGAGTTTAATTATTTCACATTGTTGAATCACAGATTTGTAATATATCATTATGTACAGAGTTACAGTTATGTTCTTATACACATGGTGTAATTTTATGCGAGAATTTTCTGATCTGATAAGAATCAGTTCTTTCTTATGTCATGGTTGTTAAACTTTACATATTGCACAAAGTTTCTGTTACACCAGCTTCATATTTGAGAAGATTTATGATACATATTCTTTTCTATCTGAATCACTGCAAAGTTTTAAAAAGACATAGACAAATACTACTTTGAAGCAGCAACAATTTAATTTTGAAAAAAAAAACACTACTTTGAAGCAGCAACAATTTAATTTTGAAAAAAAAAACAATCTTCATTTGTTACAAATTATTAATTTTTGCATTTGGATTTCATTGTGGCTTTCTTCACAACAACCTTAATATGGATTAAATCTGCCAGATCAGAGTAGTGGTATGCAATTGTGTTAAATTTGTCTACAAGCCTTTGTAGGAATGCAAAAGTGGAACAAAATAACCCTTTTAGTGTCATTTAGACTTGCACAACTATTTTGCCTCGTGAAGTTTTGGAACAAAATCTATGTAAATTTTCAAATTAGAGAAAATAAAAAAAGGGGTATTTAAGTGAATTATGTTTATTTTCTTTTTATAGCTTCATAGGTACAGCCTCTTTTGGCCCAGAAACAAGCTTGTCTGAAGCCATTTAAACTATTAACATTCCTTATTAGTGTAATAGTCCTTTTTTTGTTCTAGATTATTGATCAGTAACATAGCAAGCTGGTCATTTTTTATTTACACATGCTTATGTTCATCAATTTTCGTTAAAACTTAATAACAATAATGGAATCACACATGGACAGATGAATACCCCTCAAAATATGGTGAATCCAGTTAAAAATTTGGGCTGGCACACAACATAATTTATGTATTAAGCCTCCTCAGAGCCCATAATAGAATTTCCACGTACGGGAGAGAATGAATCTTCTGAGAAGGAGTAGAGCAATGGCCAGACTGACTATAGCAATGAGAAGGGTAGACATTTGCCCTCTTGAGTCTATGTTTGTGGGAAGTTCTGCATTTTGACCAACCACTCCAACTGGAGGTCGGGTGTATGGTATGGAAACTGGGTCATTAACAACACCACCAGTTCTCTGTCTGACCCCTGTCGTCTCCGTTGTTGTGACAGTTGTCCGACTTTCTGTTGCCTCTGTGCCTGTAGGAGGTGTTGTACTTTCAGTAGAAGTGACTTCTGGGTCAGTATCAGTAACCTGCTCAGTAGAACTCATATTAGATTCCTTTTCATCTTTACTTACTCCAGATGACAAAGTGTCTTTCTCAGATTGCACTGAGCTTTCTTTTTCTGTGGTTGGTTGAGATGGTGTACTCGTAACATTTGTCGTTGACTCTTTATTGTGTTGAGTTGGACTTTGAACATTTGTTGGTATTGTGAACCCAGAATTTGGAAACTGAGACATCCCACCAAAGCCATAGTTAGGCATGAAGCCAGGAGGAAACATAGCCGGTATAACAGGAGGCGGAGGTGGAAAACGTGGGATTCCCATCACTCCAGTTGTCACATTTTGTCCTGTGGGGGTTGTTGAAGGGAAATTAAATGGAAAGTAGGGAGATCCAAAAGGGAATTGTCCAAATGGAGGTGTGAACTGTGCCTGGTCTGGTGTAGGGGATGTAGATGTGGTAGTGGACGTTGCTGTAATTGGAGTTTGAGTTGTATTGACTGGTGTGGGTGTGGGTGATGACTCGGAAGAAATTTTGGATGGCTCTGATGATGTCGTTGTAGATTTCTCTCCCTGAAATAGAAAAAAAGTTTTTTTAAATGTCATGCTATAACTCACAGTTTTTGTATCAATTTTCATATTAAATCTTTAATAAGTGACAATGACTTTCACATGTCAGTATGGAAATACCTGGTACAGTGAATGACCTGGTACAGTGACAGACCAGTACCTGACCTGGTACAGTGAATGACTTGGTACAGTGACAGACCAGTACCTGACCTGGTACACTGAATGACCTGGTACAGTGACAGACCAGTATCTGACCCGGTACACTGAAGGACCTGGTACAGTGACAGACCAGTACCTGACCCGGTACACTGAATGGCCTGGTACAGTGACAGACCAGTACCTGACCTGGTACAGTGAATGACCTGGTACAGTGACAGACCAGTACCTGACCCGGTACAGTGAATGACCTGGTACAGTGACAGACCAGTACCTGACCTGGTACAGTGAATGACCTGGTACAGTGACAGACCAGTATCTGACCTGATACACTGAATGACCTGGTACAGTGACAGACCAGTACCTGACCTGGTACACTGAATGACCTGGTACAGTGACAGACCAGTATCTGACCTGGTACACTGAATGACCTGGTACAGTGACAGACCAGTATCTGACCCGGTACAGTGAATGACCTGGTACAGTGACAGACCAGTACCTGACCCGGTACACTGAATGACCTGGTACAGTGACAGACCAGTACCTGACCTGGTACAGTGAATGACCTGGTACAGTGACAGACCAGTACCTGACCTGGTACACTGAATGACCTGGTACAGTGACAGACCAGTACCTGACCCGGTACAGTGAATGACCTGGTACAGTGACAGACCAGTATCTGACCCGGTACACTGAAGGACCTGGTACAGTGACAGACCAGTACCTGACCCGGTACACTGAATGGCCTGGTACAGTGACAGACCAGTACCTGACCTGGTACAGTGAATGACCTGGTACAGTGACAGACCAGTATCTGACCTGATACACTGAATGACCTGGTACAGTGACAGACCAGTACCTGACCTGGTACACTGAATGACCTGGTACAGTGACAGATCAGTACCCGAACTGGTAGAGTGAATGACCTGGTACAGTGACAGACCAGTACCTGACCTGGTACAGTGAATGACCTGGTACAGTGACAGACCAGTATCTGACCTGATACACTGAATGACCTGGTACAGTGACAGACCAGTACCTGACCTGGTACACTGAATGACCTGGTACAGTGACAGATCAGTACCCAAACTGGTACAGTGAATGACCTGGTACAGTGACAGACCAGTATCTGACCCGGTACAGTGAATGACCTGGTACAGTGACAGACCAGTACCTGACCCGGTACACTGAATGACCAGGTGCAGTGACAGAACAGTATCTGACCTGGTACAGTGAATGACCTGGTACAGTGACAGACCAGTACCTGACCTGGTACAGTAACAGACCAGTACCTGACCTGGTACAGTGACAGACCAGTACCTAACCTGGTAAAGTGAATGACCTGGTACAGAAACCAACTAATCCCTGACCTTGTACACTGAATGACCTGGTGCAAATAAGGATCAGTGCCTAATCTGTTACGATGAATTGCCAGTGTATGACCCTATAGTAACAATAACTGACCTGGAAATTTATCTGTGATGCTAGTTCCTTCGCTTCCTGTCTGGTTTTTTGTGAGGCAGAAGTGACAGGCTTGAGGATATTCTGGATCTGTCCACATGTAGGACATTTCCACTCCAGGGACCTGGCAAAACAATAATACCCATGTAGGTTATCATGCCTTTATACTTTTCTCAGATATATTGTTAACCCTCTAAACAGGAAAATTTTGGAATTGCTTTGTGGATTCTACATTTCTTTGTATCATAAGCAAACATTTATCCTCTATCTTCCCTCCTAAGTATCTTAATTAAAATTGCACAAGTTTGATTTCTGAGACCAGATTATCTCCCTTGAACTAGTAATAACAGATTTTGGAGGGTCACCATAAAACCTCAAACAGTATAGTATATCTATGATATCCTTACTTTTTAGCTAATTTGACACGCTCTTCCTTGCTGTAGTCCAATGAACCAATAGCACCAGCTCCATGTGTAGGCATAAACCCAATGATAGCTAGCAAGGCTGTTCTGACTGATAAACAAACATCAGGATATTTATCATAAATCTCAAGTCTGACAATAAACTTACAGCAAAATAACAACTTATGTTTTGATATAACATAAAAACGACTAGCAATGGTTTAAACCAATTGAAATTCAAACACAAAATAGTACAGTAATACAATGAACAATTAGAAAATGATTTTACATCGACTGATACCATCATTACATCATGAATAAAACATCTGTGATCATTCCATAGGCAACAGCAATTTTTTTTTATACAATTTTAAGCTGTAGAAAGACATGACAAAAGATTATCAATCAAAAATCATTAAAAAAAAAAACAGGAGACAAAAACATATTGCAAATGAAAGCAAACACTTACTTGACCAAGATGGTTGCCAGGATTCAGGATGGTGGCCAGATATACTTAAACAGATTTTCTTGAACACCTCAAATCTGCCATTTGGCTACAAAAGCATGAAAATAAATTGAGTTTCAGTTGGTCCTGAAGAAGCCGAAGTTCGTACCAAAGCGGTTGACATTTCATTTCAAAGAAAATCTTATCCCACGCCTGTTGTAGCTGATAAATCCTCTTAGTTTTCAGAGTTATGTGATAAATAGCATTTTTCGTTTGTTTCCATTTCCTATGAGATTTATGAAACCAATCTCAAAGTCTTTTTTTTTTTCTCACAAGTCTTTCCATAAAATCTCATAAGAAACGAAAACTCACTTATGGTTTAATATAATATTCATCTACTGTACTAATGCTCCAACAAGCAATCTTCTTTTCAAACACCTTAGCATACATTTATGTAAGTTAAACATATTCTCAGACATCAAGTCAACATCATGACAATTGAGACTCTCTAAAGACAAGTGTAGTTTGCTTTCTACCACCTAATTTGAAAAAGTTATTGAAAAATTATTTTTCAATCAGAACTCTTCTTGACCTTAGTATGACTTGTATAACTTAAGAAATATACTGAGCTGACCTTTCAATAAGAACTCTTTAAGAGTGGTTTATATCATTTAATGTTTTTTTTTGTTCTTACTGTGAGAAGGATGATGCTTGGGGGCTTCATAGGATACTCTGGTGGAAGGACAATTCTCCCGTGATATAAACCTCCATCAAATTCACTTTCACCAGGACCTCGGATGGTGAAATGCCACTCAAATAAATTGTCCTGTCATAAACATTGGTCACATTCACCATTAACAACCACTGATTAAATCACACAATTAATGAAAAATGCAATATCAAGGCTTATGATACCTCAGTGAAAATCATAAGTGAAAATTAATATTTACTTTGTACTGAAAATCAATATTTAATTTGTCCAAATGTATTAACGATCCATGATTTATATTATGTATATCAAGAGTAATCAAAGGTTCTAAAGAAATGCCTTTAGGCTAGCTCTAGAATTCACATTACAATATAGCACTCACCTCTAAAGGCTGAGCATGGTATTGTTCTGTTGGTTCCCTCAACTCCTGGGCTTCTTTCATTAATCTCTTCACAGCTGAAACAAATTGCATAGCATTGCATCATATGATCTAGGTATAGTGTCAAGGTAACTTACATGGAGAGTATCAAAGACAACTTTTCATATCAGAAATGACTTACAATTACTTCATTTCTTGTCTGAACCTACTCTAAACTCAAAGATAAGATACACATCATTAGACACAAGGAGACATTAATGTGGTTTCAAAATTTGCTGGTAAAGAACTTACAAAGTGGTTACACATAATATTTTGAATAGACAGTCTTGAGCATTGCCCCAATCAATATAGGTTTTAAATGATTTTATGAAAATATTACTCTGAAAATGTAAAAGTTTTCACTGATCCAATACCTTCACAGTTAAATCACAAAATATATTATCCAATAATGAAAATTCACTAATTATATAACTGGGACACATTATAATGACAATATATAAGGAATATTTTAATGTATTATCACACAGATTCAAGAGCCTGGCCATGGTAGATCTTATTTCGTTCTGTATTGCAGTACAGTACTCATTCTCACGTTCCTTACTCTAGATGTCTTCCAGTGTAGATACGTTACCTGGGCTGCGCATACTGTACATGCCCTGCATACTGGACATGTTCGCTTCTAGTTTTCGTGTGTATACTGTCTGGCAAAGTTTGCACCTTCAAATAACAGAAAAATGACAGATCTAGACGTGGCTCCACCAGAGCTAGGGAAAGTTCTATGTTCTAACCAATCAAAAATGACGTTTACTCTGGTTAATAGAACGCTTCTTTTCAGAGGCGCTTCGGCATAAAAATTGAAGCGTGCAAAGGACAACGTTTACTTTCACATTAGACATCAAGCATGCCTTTCTTGGAGATCAGTTATTTACGTTCAAAAAACATTTTGTTATTCTCTAAACGTTTCCAAAGTTTTTTTAAACAGCAATGCAGAAACAGCAGCAAGAAACAGGGGCGTTGGGTAAGTATTGACCTGAGGTTGGTCAAATAATTGAAGTTATGGTGGATGATGGTGTAAACACTTCAAGCATTTATCAAACAGAACATTGTATGCTTTCCTGCTTACATGTCCTCTGTAAGTGCATGTCAACTGTTCAATAGCTTAATTCTCTAAGTTGAGAGATATCGATTGAACAATTCAATTATACTGATGAATTCAGTTTTGATAACAAAAACTTGACTTCAATGTTTTGAAATTGATTTTAAACCACTGATTAAGTTAGGCGCGATGAATTAAGATTTCGATAATACGTGATAAAAATAACAATTTAGATTATTTAGATGGAAAGTTTGATCCAATGTACCTCTAAAATTAATGGTGGGAAATGACATACGGTTAAATAAGCTCTTTATCAATATTTACAGCTGTATCAAATAATTGACATGTAAATGTTAATTCTGAAACTGTGAAATTATACATTGTGAATCTTTTTTCTGGTTTTGATCAAAAGGAAGAAGGGAAAGGTCTAGAAAAATCATAGTTATTTACATTTATTACCCATGTAGAAACACTCTTTGTACTGTAGGTTTTTTTTTATGTCCCCACAGTTACAGTACCTTAAATTGCATTAAAATTGCACAAAACACCAAGAAATTAATTTTCTTAGATGTCCCACAAAGATTCGCTATCCTAATAGTACCAACAAAATTGTATTTTCCTCTTCCTGGAAACTATGACAAGAGGACATTGCTTTGTTCTCACACCTTGGAGATAAATATATGCTCACAAAGATTGTTTTTCTGATTAAAAACACAGACTTATTCAATATTAAGAAGGGATTTAATAAGGTTGAAGAGTGAAACACACTTCTGATTTGCCATTACCACAACTACATCTCTGATATATATATTGCTATTGGAAATTAGTGTACCCAGAATGTCTGTGAAACTAATATCCCCAAAGTAAAACCAGATAGAGAGAAAGAGAGAGAGGATACTTTGGTTAGGTTGTATTTGTGCTATAGGTGTTTTATTGCATTAATGTTTGCTTTCAATGCTATTAATGAGGCACAACTAACATTTCGTTTCAAGTGGTTTCAATCAATGATTGTTCATGTTTCAGAAATTTCTATGAATATTTCTGGGGTTATTTCAGTAATGTTCTCTTTTATAACATTTGATAAAACAAAAAGTGTTGAAAGATTTATATATTTTAGATATCTATTAGGGTCTTTGCTTTGTAAGGTAATCATTTAGAGGTATAGAACATAAAACTGGTAAAAATCACCTTGTTACTGAAGATTACTTTGTGATGTGCTCAGGTTGTCTGAAGTACAGTATTGGTATTTTCAGCTCATCGAGCATCTGTGAGACACATTCAGATTCACACTCTGGATTTCCTCAATTCTGGGACTTCAATGTCAGTCTCTTCATAGCTGAAACACTTTTTAGTATTGCTGTATGATAAGATTATGGTGTTATCTTCAAATCTGTCCAAAAGCAAGATGCAATGAATTGTAACAGAGGTCATTATTTATTTCAATGCCTCCGCTAGGAATCGAACCCGGGACCCCTGGCTTACTAGTCTGATGCTCAACCGATCGAGCTACAGAGAAGTTCTCTGTAGTTGAGCGGTATATTGCGATTAGTATTTACCAGTGTTACATACTCCTCCTCCAGGAAACAACTCGTCCTCGAGTTTCCAGGGGTTACACCAATGCTGGTGGGGCATGGCTAAGTATTATTCCTGAGTTCCTACATAGACACCAATGTAACAGAAGTCATTATTTATTTCAATGCCACCGCTAGGAATCGAACCTGGGACCCCTGGCTTACTAGTCTGACACTCAACCAATTGAGCTGAAGAGAAGTTCCCTCTAGTTGAGCAGTATATTGCGGCTAGTATTTACCAGGGTTACAGTATGATAAAAGTTTGACAAGGAATATTATTTGTACTACCTGTGTTTGATATATAATTAAATGGTTATAGTCTCTAATGTTGCATGGCACTCTGCTGATATCATCTGAGGCTGATGTATCCATAAAAATTCCTATAATTTCTGTGTTCAATTAAAGATTATATCCTCTCCATCATACCTGATTGTCCAGAAGGGCCCAGAATACTTGTCTACAGACTGGTTTTCTTGGTGTCAGTAAAGCAAATCAGTTTTAGGCATTTTGCTGACCTGTATCTTGATTGCATGCCTGTCATGTTGTGGACCTATAGAAAGCAAGTAAATTGCTGAGTCGTTATATATTGGTGTAGCATAACATACTGATCTTGGACTTAAAATGGATTTACAATCAATTGTGACATCTGTGCTGATATCATAAGTAATCACAACCACCAAAATTTTGAGGAGATGCTGATCTTTACCATTTGTTACAAAATTTTACAAACTTCTATAATATGACTTCCATTGTATATTGCCTTGAACTTGACCCATAAGTCTGATTTATTCTTACATTCTATCAGTTTTTAGCCCACCTGGCCAAAGGGGCCAAGTGAGCTTATCCCATAGCGTGGCATCCGTCATCTGTCCGTCCATCGTCCATTGTCCGTCTGTCCTGCGTCCGTGAACTTTTCATTTAAACAATCTTCTTCAGAAATGCTTAGATTTATCATATTTGGCTGGAAGGTTCCTTTGATGAAGCCCAACAAAGTTTGTAAAGAAAAATGACCTTGACCCATATTCAAGGTCACAGTGGTCAAATGTGTTAAAACATTTACACGACTTCTTCCAAAATACCAAAGGCCGAGAATCATTATACTTGGCTGGAGGCTTGAGCTAAGTAATGTGAAAAACTACATGTTAGCCAATTACTTATGTTCTATTCACAGCATTAAAATACAGAAAGCATGATTGGAAAGAGAATTTTGATTTAAGATTCTTCATAATTATGGCATAAATAAATAAGAAATTCTAAGTTGATACCATTTGCTATGCAGTGGGTATAGGCCTACAGTAAGCTGTTATCACTATATCTCCAGTAACCGGGGCTTAACTGACCATGGTGACATCACTAAGTTATGCATGAAACGTTTTATTGTAGGTATTAAGTAATTAATACAATATTAATGAGGTGGGGATGGAGTGTCATCCTGGTCAGATTGCCCCAACTTTTATCAGGACTAACATTTGGCATGTCAAGTTTGGGGCAATGGGACCCTTGAAACACATTGTGTTCAGGTTTAGCCAATGGCAACCTAGGAGGTTTGTAGGTTACACTGCTGCACTGACCTGCCCAGCCACAGTCTCCAGAGCACTGTGGAGTGACCAGGTCCCACCTCCAGCACTGACAGGGCTTTAGAATCCTGAATGATAAAAACCCATCCCACCCATCCCTTTAGATTAGATCTTTTATGTTGTAGTTATTAGTTGTATTTGTCTCTTAGCAGAAGACCAGTATTTCATTATTTGTGGACTGTGTTGTCCACAGATATATAATTTTGTAATGTTGCATAATATTACATAATAATAAAATATTGGTTACTTTTGGCCCAAACCTGTGTTTGAATTTTTATATACCCCTATCTACATGTACATCTGATTAATATTGGTTTTGAGTTAGGATTATGGTTTATAATTACATGTACCTTAATTTTTCAAGTCTTTATATTTAATTGTTGCTATATATTGTTGACTTGTGCAAGTCTCAAATATGTTGTATCTGTGTTTGTAAACAATGATCTAAAGGGCAAGTAAGCTTCTGCTGTCCTGGGTCATCCGTCCAGCTATAACTAAGAGTTTTTCTGCTATATTGTTTGATTTAAAAGAAAGCTATCAATTATATTTAACTAGAAACATCATAAGAAAGTCTCAATTCAACATTGCACAGATGAGGGGGCTGAATACTAAGGGACAGAACCCATATGCAGTAATTTGTCATATTGCTTTAAGCATCTACTGTGGAACATATGCACAGATATAGTACTGTTGGTCATAAAGATCCAGGTGAGCGATACTGGCCCTATGGGCCTCTTGTTTTATATTGGTCTTGAATCAGTGGATTCCAGCCTTAACAAAGACATTTGACACCAGAATGAGCTGATAACAGTTTACTGGCAGGGAAGGATTGACAACTAACAATAAGCAGTAGTATAACCAGTTTTCTGTTCAGTTATCGCTATGACAACCTTAAAAAAATTCTTGTCATGTGAAATATTTGGATTATGATAATGTAGTGCTAGAGAAGCTTAATACATTATACATGGTAACCAATGGGCTTCTTGTTTTTACGTAGGTATATATAAATACAGATTAAATTTGGTTTGGAAATCTACAAGAAAGCCATTAAGGTGCAAAAAAAAACTTTTGAAACATGCTGTTATCATTTCCTTCATCAACAAAAAGCAATATGTGATCTACTCTTGTTGTAAAACTATAATACAAAGATATCATATGTACAAATTAAACACTGTTCTTCAGAATAAATTTCACCTGTCAGTGATTCTTAAGTCTCTATCCAAATAGATGGTCAACAAGGTTCAGCATCAGTAGACAGACTTGGCCAGTGATGGCTGCCATGGCACTTGTTCTGTTTTGGATATGATTGATGCACTGTAGTAGCCACCTCCAGATCCTGAGACATCCAATCCAACTCCCATACTATTTAATAAAACCATCAACATTTAACCATTTAATAAACTTTCAACATCTTGTTACTTCTATATTTTATCTCTAATACTTCAGCATGTCTTTAGACAACTCAGTGAAAATATGCTTCCTGTTTGCAATACCAACCAGGTACATATAAAAATATTATCAACACTTGTTGATATACAAACCATGGCCTGCATGATCCTTTAATACCAGTGTTCACTGGGTACCCATTAGTTTATATACATGTATATACAATTTTTTATATCACATGGCAGTTTGCCATCATCCTGAACAAAAAAGTGCATTGTCATCGATTGCATATGTCAGCCCTCTGATCATAGTAATTATCATGCCATAGTTTAATCGTTTTGTCTATTTGTTACTCATGCCATGTGAAGCCTGAGTTTTTCCACAAGATATATCCCAGCCTTAGTTCATTTACAGTCTCAGAAATCATATTAAATATGGTAATTAAATTTGATTGGTAAAACCTGTTTCTTTTCCAAATAATATTTTGCCTGTAAACCCCTCGTTCAGGTCTTCATTGGAAATCATTAGGATTATTTCATTTCATGTCCCAGTTGGGGGAACCTTACATACGTTGTACAGGGGGTACCTTATGTACATTGTACTGAAGGTATTTTATGTACATTGTACTGAAGGTATTTAATGTATATTGTACTGGAGGATTCTTCTGTACATTGTACTGAAGGTATTTTATGTACATTGCACTGGAGGATACTTCTGTACATTGTACTGAAGGTATTTTATGTACATTGTACTGGAGGATTCTTCTGTACATTGTAATGAAGGTATTTTATGTACATTGTACTGGAGGATTCTTCTGTACATTGTAATGAAGGTATTTTATGTACATTGTACTGGAGGATACTTCTGTACATTGTACTGAAGGTATTTTATGTACATTGTACTGGAGGATTCTTCTGTACATTGTAATGAAGGTATTTTATGTACATTGTACTGGAGGATTCTTCTGTACATTGTAATGAAGGTATTTTATGTACATTGTACTGGAGGATTCTTCTGTACATTGTAATGAAGGTATTTTATGTACATTGTACTGGGGTACTTTATGTACATTGTACTGAAGGTATTTTATGTACATTGTACTGGGGTACTTTATGTACATTGTACTGAAGGTATTTTATGTACATTGTACTGGGGTACTTTATGTACATTGTACTGAAGGTATTTTATGTAAGTTGTAATGGAGGGAACTTGGTACAGTTAAGTTTGTTTACAGTAGATAGTATCCAACTTCTGTTAACCAGCTTTCTTTTGCAATTTATTTTCATGAAGATGACAATCAACACAACTTCATTCAAGTTGATTGTCATTAATAAAGACAAATGATAAACAGTGATTATAGCATACATCACATTCAGTCTGTTTCATGTAAGTCAGTAGCCATTAAAGAGAGTTGTTTACAGTATCATGTAACAGTGTTGAGATAATTAATGGAAAGATACCTAAGTCAGCAAATATAACAAAGATGTAGGATGGAAATGAAAGTTTATGGATTCAATATAACAATTGTCCAAAAAGATAGCAATGATTTAGTAATGTATGGGGCATTTTCACAAAAGGGAAGTTATTACAATGATGCTTTGTGAGGAACTGAATTATAAAGACATGTTAACAAGGGCTGTGTAAACATTTCAGCTGAATTTATGTTTTATTTTTTTATTTGGTCCATTACTTGTAGACACATACACCAAGGGAATTATCAGGAACAGATAAAGCATTGGAACATTTTGACATATTCTATAAACCAGTGTACAGAGAGATTTGGCCATCCATCAGAATATCTCTCCTGACAACTCAGAAGTACTGTGCTTTAATAAACAATTATGGAGATGTTGAAGGAGCTGTAGACAAACTTAGCCAGCTAGGAGCATGTGATATATTACAAGATGCTGCTGAAGTTTTACAAAGTGCTGATTCTCCTTATGTAAAGGGTGATGACATTTTTAGTTTTACACGGGAATCATCAAAAAGTCCTGAGAGTGAAATTGATGAAGAAGACGATGAATCAGACACGACTCCAACAGAAGAGGAACAGTTGCTAACTCTACTGAGATATGAAAAGAATACAAGTTTAGATAATTTTGTGCCTGTAAAAAGAGTTTATACTGAGAGGCAACTAAATGAACAAGAAGATTTAGTGAAAAGTACCTATCAACCATCAGGAGTTCCTATAAATATTATACATGAGGGTTCTGTCCAGATTCCACAGAATCTCGGAGTTTATGCTTTCAGGAAAGGAGACACCAGTGATTACCCTTCTCCGGCTGGCATCAATGATGGCAGACTGGGTAAGTAATGTTGAGTCCTCTGGTTCTAATTACAGTGAATAGGCTCAATCAGAATGTAGCAGTATTAAGATATTAGAATATCTTTATTCATATAAACTGTACTTACTTTATTTAGCTAGAGGAAATCTAAGGTGAACAATGAAAAATGTCAAAATATTGAATGCTATATACCGATAGCAACAAAAATTCAAAGGTGTATCAATTTTTTAAGTACCCTACTTTGTAAAGGTGAATTTTTTCAGAGTACCCTACTTTGTAAAGGTGAATTATTTCAGAGTACCCTACTTTGTAAAGGTGAATTATTTCAAAGTACCCTACTTTGTAAAGGTGAATTATTTAAAGTACCCTACTTTGTAAAGGTGAATTATTTCAAAGTACCCTACTTTGTAAAGGTGAATTATTTCAGAGTACCCTACTTTGTAAAGGTGAATTATTTCAAAGTACCCTACTTTGTAAAGGTGAATTATTTCAGAGTACCCTACTTTGTAAAGGTGAATTATTTCAGAGTACCCTACTTTGTAAAGGTGAATTATTTAAAGTACCTACTTTGTATAGCTTCAAGAAAACTAAGTTTGGTAGTGTCATTGTATCAGCCTTTATGTTTACAAACAAAACTTCAGACAAATTATTACAAGTTCTTATTTTTAAATATTTTTGTAGTCATCTCATAATAATGATAAACAGTTATAATTTGTAGTAAATATCTAATTATATTTCATCTACGTTTTATGTAGAATATTTCTTGATGGATGGGGCTTCCATTTTACCTGTCATTGCCCTTGACCTCCAGCCATCAGACAATGTCCTTGACCTTTGCTCAGCTCCAGGAGGAAAGGCTTTGGCAATGAAGCAGACAATGCTACCAGGTTTGTGATCTACGTTGAGGTAACCAAATCATACAATATGATACCATATTATATTATTCTGAATGTACAATATGATATCTATGTATGTTCTGTCCTCTCAGTCTTGTTGTGTTGCATCATGTCCCTCAAACAAGGTGAGTTTTGTTATCAGTATCCCACATTGGATAGCAATAACATCAACACCTCAAAAATAAATAGAGTATATCTGCATCACACTTACGATATATATTCACAATCATATATTCTATCTCCGTGCATTCAAAGCCATTAATTTCCAGTTCAAATACAGATGACGCTAAAGTTGAATGACACCTTGTGTTAATCATTTTGTACATTTGCTATATAGACTATTTGTTATATAAACTCTCAAGAATTTTTCCAGCAAAGTTTGCCTAGATGGAAGAATCATATCAAGAAGCCATTAAAAATAGGAAACATGTTTGTTTGCAAGAATGATGTCATCAAAATATAGCGAAAACAATACTCATCTTACTAGTACTAGATCTTTTAGTGTGGTAGGAGACTCACCACTATATGAAAAAGGTGTAATACATGGTTTTATTGTGTGAATTGATATTTAGCATTGCCATCATGAAAATGAAATACATTATACGATGTTGAATTAAACAGAATATATTGGGGGAAAAAATCTATGTTTCAAGAAAACGTGATATTGATCGGAAAGTGACATTAAATGACACAACTTTAAATGGTTTCCACTGTGTTTCTCTGTCATGATTTAATTTGTGTAATACCCACAAAAGTATACAATGTATGTAATTCATTAAAGAAGAATCAAACACAAATCTACAGGTGTCTTTCAAATAATGATGGTTTTGTATGCTCCTGCCATTTTGGGGGGGGGGGGTGAGGGTATGGGTGGTGATGGTATGGTGAGGAGGTCGGGTATATAGTGTTAACCATGTCCATTTCCATCCCAGGTAAAATCTCAGTTTTATTTTGAAGATTACCTAAAGCAACCTTTAACCATTTGAGAAATTTCTAAAATTGCTAAAGTGTAGGTGCATACCATTTATAGTGAATTTGTTTAAGATTTCCAGTATTGTCAATATTTGTAACATATTCGTAATCTCACCATCACAATTTTTTTAAACAAAGTGACATTGTTCGTTAATAAATCCTTAAGACACTTTGACTGAAACAATACTGAATTAGTTTTTTTTCTTTTCAGAAAGTATTTTCTGTAACGATATATCTGGATCACGATTAAAACGCCTGCAGAAAGTCATACGAAGTTACATACCAGAAAATATGACAGATGACATCACACTTAAACAACAAGATGGACGTCAGATGAAGACACCCATGTTTAGTAAGGTAGGATATATACACTGAAAGAAAGTTTCCTGAGAATACAAGATATATCTAGAGTACAGTCACTGATGTTATCTCCATAATGGGATTAACAAAAATTTGAACTTTGATAAAATTTCTAAATTTGAGGTCCAGTTAAATATAGATAAATTATTGCCTTTCTGCCAGAATAGTATGATCTTCCCTTACAAGGAAAGCTGCTGAGCTTGTTTTGAAAATATCAATGAAAGAGCCAAATTATCTCCCTTTGACTAGAGGAATTATTGCTAGATGCATTACACCATCCAATATTATATGTTACATAAAGTAAATTTTGATAGATTTGCTTCCATTTGATTTCTGCGTTTATTTTACTTGTCCACAATTTGATGAAAGTTAGTGTTACATGGCTTTATGTACAGAACAGTTATTCACAGAGCACTTTAATTACATCACCTAGACAGAACTTGACATTTAAGTAAGGCCCTTAACAGCTTAGAGAAGTCCTTGTGTGATCTAATTGAAAGAAATTCAAAGTATTTTAAACCTGTTATATACAGAGTGATAAAAACTTTTTTATCTGATCCTTTACATATCTTTGCCATTGTTTCATTGGTCAGTTACATTTTCTTGTTTGTAGGTACTGGTGGATGTACCCTGTAATACAGACCGACATGTGCTGTTGGAGGAAGACAATAACCTATTCAAGAGTGGCAGGGTTGGAGAGCGCCTTCAGCTCCCTATAGTCCAGCGTGACCTTCTTGTGTGAGTATAATGCATGTTATTTTTAGATGTAGACTTTCAAGGTTTTGGTTTAAAATATATATATATATATTATGCTTAGAACCATTGTTATTCAACTTAATATGACATTCATTAATTCTGGATGCCAAACAAAATGTCTTGATCCTATGCATTGAATAATTGAAGTAGTCAGATTTATAAATTTATTTTAAAAAACATAACCCCCTCCCTCCAAAAAACAAATTTCTTTCCCATTTCTACCTGAAAAAAAAATCAATAAGTAGGGCTGGTGTATTGTCCTGTGTACGGGGAGCATGTATTGTCGATTCTACCTGTAAATGTAATTTTATATGATTTATATGTGTACAAGATTATATTCTCTCCTATAGGACTGGTACACCGTCTCGTGTACAGGGATGATATATTGTCTGTTACACATGTAAATCTATATATTCTCTCCTTAAAGGATCAAATACTGGTGACTTGTATGGGAAGGCTCTGTTGTCTACTTCACCAGTAAACCTATGTATTCTCCTGTAGGGCTGGTATACTGTCATGTGTTTAGAGAGGATCTATAGTCTATTTCACCTGTACATCTATATATTCCCTCCTGTAGGGCTGGTATACTGTAATGTGTACTGAGACTATCTATAGTCTATTTCACCTGTACATCTATATATTCCCTCCTGTAGGGCTGGTACACTGTAATGTGTACTGAGACTATCTATAGTCTATTTCACCTGTACATCTATATATTCCCTCCTGTAGGGCTGGTACACTGTAATGTGTACTGAGAGTATCTATAGTCTATTTCACCTGAACATCTATATATTCCCTCCTGTAGGGCTGGTACACTGTAATGTGTACTGAGACTATCTATAGTCTATTTCACGTGTACATCTATATATTCCCTCCTGTAGGGCTGGTAAACTGTAATGTGTAGAGTATCTATAGTCTATTTCACCTGAACATCTATATATTCCCTCCTGTAGGGCTGGTACACTGTAATGTGTACTGAGAGTATCTATGTGTACATCTATATATTCCCTCCTGTAGGGCTGGAGTAATGTGTATAGTCTCTATTTCACCTGTACATCTATATATTCCCTCCTGTAGAGCTGGTACACTGTAATGTGTACTGAGACTATCTATAGTCTATTTCACCTGTACATCTATATATTCCCTCCTGTAGGGCTGGTACACTGTAATGTGTACTGAGACTATCTATAGTCTATTTCACCTGTACATCTATATATTCCCTCCTGTAGGGCTGGTACACTGTAATGTGTACTGAGACTATCTATAGTCTATTTCACCTGTACATCTATATATTCCCTCCTGTAGGGCTGGTACACTGTAATGTGTACTGAGACTATCTATAGTCTATTTCACCTGTACATCTATATATTCCCTCCTGTAGGGCTGGTACACTGTAATGTGTACTGAGACTATCTATAGTCTATTTCACCTGTACATCTATATATTCCCTCCTGTAGGGCTGGTACACTGCAATGTGTACTGAGACTATCTATAGTCTATTTCACCTGTACATCTATATATTCCCTCCTGTAGGGCTGGTACACTGCAATGTGTACTGAGAGTATCTATAGTCTATTTCACCTGAACATCTATATATTCCCTCCTGTAGGGCTGGTACACTGTAATGTGTACTGAGAGTATCTATAGTCTATTTCACCTGTACATCTATATATTCCCTCCTGTAGGGCTGGTAAACTGTAATGTGTACTGAGAGTATCTATAGTCTATTTCACCTGAACATCTATATATTCCCTCCTGTAGGGCTGGTACACTGTAATGTGTATAGAGAGGATCTATAGTCTATTTCACCTGTACATTTATATATTCCCTCCTGTAGGGCTGGTACACTGTAATGTGTACTGAGACTATCTATAGTCTATTTCACCTGTACATCTATATATTCCCTCCTGTAGGGCTGGTACACTGTAATGTGTACTGAGACTATCTATAGTCTATTTCACCTGTACATCTATATATTCCCTCCTGTAGGGCTGGTACACTGTAATGTGTACTGAGACTATCTATAGTCTATTTCACCTGTACATCTATATATTCCCTCCTGTAGGGCTGGTACACTGTAATGTGTACTCAGACTATCTATAGTCTATTTTACCTGTACATCTATATATTCCCTCCTGTAGGGCTGGTACACTGTAATGTGTACTGAGACTATCTATAGTCTATTTCACCTGTACATCTATATATTCCCTCCTGTAGGGCTGGTACACTGTAATGTGTACTGAGAGTATCTTTTGTCTATTTCACCTGTAAATCTATACATATGTATATATTCTCTTTTGTAGGGCTGGTATACTGTCATGTGTACAGGGCGGATCTGTTGTCTATTCCACGTGTACCCTGTCAGCAGCACAGAATGATGGTGTCATTCAGTCAGCCCTGGAGTACATATGGCAGGAGACAGATATCAATGTGGCAGTGGTGGACCTCAACCACATGGCGAAGGCTTTCAGTAAAACATTCAGGTTCTGGAGAAACAGTAGGCTGGGACAGGTTGTGCTCCCAACTCTGAGCTGTAACTTTGGACCAATGTATATAGCTAAACTTAAAGTATTAGAAAGACCCGGGTAAAATAAAAACATTGTTTTACTTTACTCAGCGTGCTTTGTTTTTATTTCCTTTTCTGTCATAGTGAACACTGATAATTAAATCTTGTTATAGAACTTTGAAAAAATTATTTCTCTGAAATTTTATTTTCACAAATGCCATGGCATAAAAATATTCTGTTTTGAAGATGTGAACTCAACCATCAAAGTATGTAGGAAGCAGTTCATGCCTGCCTTACCAATGTTTTGGGAGTTTTTTCTGATGTTTTTGCTGAATCTTAACATTGAATTCATAGCATTTACTGATGAATGTTTAATTGGGAAACTGCATGTTATTAACTATTGTAACTCCAGTATTATGAAAAAGACAATGTTAATCCTGACATATATTTAACAACCACGTCAAAGATCAATGATTAACACTATAAGTACACTGAAAACATTCTCTGTATATTTAATGGTGATTAACTGCATGCCTTCTTCTCCATATTATTTCTCACAGATACAATTTCCTTCCCTTATTGGGCCACAGTGGTTGAGTGGTTCGGACATCTGACTGTCTTTATCATTAAAGCCCAGGTACTGGTGGTAGGTCAATGGCTTATCTCTGGGAACTCTGGCTTTCCTCCACCACCCGACACGGCACGTCCGTAAATGACCCTGGCTCTTACTAGGACTTAAAGCAATTGGAAACTAAACAATCCTTATTGAGAATTCTGTAATATATTCCCCAAGCTTTTATTACAAAATCTCACTACACCAGTGGTGGCACTAAACAAAATAATGAAAAAGCAAGGTTTTACTGGCAAATAAAAACAAGATGTTACTATGTAATGTTTAATAGTTGTCCAATAATTTATACATTGATATATCCAGCATACAGGATTGATCAGCTTTAACTAAAATTCACCACGTCATACATACTGATGCTAATATTATAAGTATTTAAATCAAACTGGAGAAAAATACCAGAGAGCCAACATCCAATAAGCATGTGCTTACAACAGTTCATGTAAGTGTACTAGGTTCGAGGAGGATACCCAGCAGTATAGAGAATCCTCTTATAGAACTGAATAAGACAAGAGGAGCTATTCCTGAAGCCATACTACCAAGCAGTATATGGGTACTCTTCTTTTTCCAGGCTAATTATCAAAATTATATAATTTTATAAGTAATTTTTTGAAGTGCTTTTGGAGGAATGAAAAAAAAAAAAAGGACATAGAATGCAGTGTTTTCTATGACCATCAAAAATGTGCATTTTGACGTGCTAAATTGACAAAAGACCCTCAGATTGATAGTTTTACTCTTGTGTGATTTTAGTCCCTGGGCTCATATATTCATAACATTTTAGAGTCCCAGGGTAACCATGAGAATGGTCCAGAGAACTGACTCAAATATAGTTACCAATATGTAGGTATTGATTAAGCAATAGGATCAGATGTCAAGCAAACTTGAAGTGATTGGTATTGATGTTAGGTAAACTTGAATCGACTGGTATGTAACATGATCTGAGTGTGGGATGTTAGGTAAACTTGAATCGACTGGTATGTAACATGATCTGAGTGTGGGATGTTAGGTAAACTTGAATCGACTGGTATGTAACATGATCTGAGTGTGGGATGTTAGGTAAACTTGAATCGACTGGTATGTAACATGATCTGAGTGTGGGATGTTAGGTAAACTTGAATCGACTGGTATGTAACATGATCTGAGTGTGGGATGTTAGGTAAACTTGAATCGACTGGTATGTAACATGATCTGAGTGTGGGATATTAGGTAAACTTGAATCGACTGGTATGTAACATGATCTGAGTGTGGGATGTTAGGTAAACTTGAATCGACTGGTATGTAACATGATCTGAGTGTGGGATGTTAGGTAAACTTGAATCGACTGGTATGTAACATGATCTGAGTGTGGGATATTAGGTAAACTTGAATCGACTGGTATGTAACATGATCTGAGTGTGGGATGTTAGGTAAACTTGAATCGACTGGTATGTAACATGATCTGAGTGTGGGATGTTAGGTAAACTTGAATCGACTGGTATGTAACATGATCTGAGTGTGGGATGTTAGGTAAACTTGAATCGACTGGTATGTAACATGATCTGAGTGTGGGATGTTAGGTAAACTTGAATCGACTGGTATGTAACATGATCTGAGTGTGGGATGTTAGGTAAACTTGAATCGACTGGTATGTAACATGATCTGAGTGTCTGATGTTAGGTAAACTTGAATCGACTGGTATGTAACATGATCTGAGTGTGGGATGTTAGGTAAACTTGAATCGACTGGTATGTAACATGATCTGAGTGTCGGATGTTAGGTAAACTTGAATCGACTGGTATGTAACATGATCTGAGTGTCTGATGTTAGGTAAACTTGAATCGACTGGTATGTAACATGATCTGAGTGTGGGATGTTAGGTAAACTTGAATCGACTGGTATGTAACATGATCTGAGTGTGGGATGTTAGGTAAACTTGAATCGACTGGTATGTAACATGATCTGAGTGTATTCTTGCAGTGTTAATTTTCCATCCCCAGATTTATCTGCATCTTGTAACATTTCCTTTAGCATCTGATTAGAAAATGTCAGTTTATTAGCATCCACAGCCTGTCTCAAATCTTCAAACGTCACATAGCCCTTGTCACCCTCATCCAGCAGCTCAAATGCCTGCAAATCAAAAACATCTAGGTCAGAGGCAAAAACGCTACAATGTATATTACGTCAATGTATAAATATGTACCAGTCACTAAAAGAGTGTTATTGAAAATTATTCCAGATAAAGTTTGTATTCACACTCTTTTATAGCTTGTAGTTCCAACTCCAGTTTCCATCAGTGGTCCTTTCAAGCAATATACACATGTCCTTGTCCATTCTGATTGTTCAAATTCTCCTTACCTATCTAAATTGCCCTTGCCCATTTTCCATTGCAGATTGTTCTTGCCAGTTTTGATGTTCAAATTCTCCTTACCTATCTAGATTGCCCTTTCCCATTTCCCATTGCAGATTGTTCTTGCAAGTTTTGATTGTTCAAATTCTCCTTACCTATCTAGATTGCCCTTGCCCATTTTCCATTGCAGATTGTTCTTGCCAGTTTTGATGTTCAAATTCTCCTTACCTATCTAGATTGCCCTTTCCCATTTCCCATTGCAGATTGTTCTTGCCAGTTTTGATGTTTCAAATTCTCCTTACCTATCTAGATTACCCTTGCCCATTTTGGTCATTCATGTTCTCCTTACCGCTATGAATTGTCTTCGTACATCTTGATTGTTCAAATTCTCGTACCCCTTACCTGTGTGTTTCTTAACCTGTATCAGAGGTTTCCTTACCTGTATCAGAAATCACGTTACCACCTTCATCTGATTCAGAATCCCTACCTGTGTCTAAAAAACCGTACGTACCTGTTTTATCTCATCAAATGGGTCGGGTCCATCTCCTTGACTCTTTATTATGAATTCTAGGAAGTTGGTAAATGTCACATGTCCTGTGTCGCCTGCCAATTCTCCTGCAAGTCATGAAGAGTGTTTAAAGAAAAGTAAAGAAAACAGCCGGTTAATCAGAATTAGGTGAAACATCGTTCAATCAAGCACGATAGAAGAGATGCTTATTATTTCATCTCCCTTTAATGATGTGAAAGGGAAAGGCTGACCCACTGTCTGTACTTACTGATCATGCCGTCAAACACCTTGGCAGATGCTCTGAATCCAAGCATCTTCACAATCCTCTTGATATCCTTGTCATTGATGTACCTAGGGATGAAGTTTTAAAGTCAATATGAAAAAGGTTCGAGTAAAATAACCAATGATTTCAAATAAACATTTATCAGTTTGGGAATCCTTCAATGCCAATGAAAATAATTTAACTAGATAACCGGTATTTATGAAAATTGGGAAGGGCAAATCTAGTCGATGGAAGTATCGAGATTTTGATTGGCTAAGACATATCTAGCTGAAAGGAAGCATTAAGTTTTTTTTATTGGATAAAGTGGATGAAGCTTGAGGAAGTATGAAGCTTTTGATTGGATAAAGTGGATGTAGCGTAAGGAAGTATTTTGATTGGATGTTTGACCCCCGGAAGGAAGACTTACCCTTTTCCTTTCACGTCGAACATGCCGAACACTAGTCGTAGATCTTCGATCTCCGATCTTGTCAGCACCCTTGTAATATGACTAGGGAATTCAGAATCTCCCCGAGTCCTAGAAAACACATTTTCTGCCAGCGATGTAATATCAGGTCTTTTTTCCCTTAGAAGAATTCCAAACTTGTCATCTATTTCATGTTTCAATTTGTCTGATTCCGCATCTAACTTAGCACGCGCTTTGGATAATGCAAATTTTTCCTCGTCCGTTTGAACTTTTTTAATGGCTGCCTTTGTTTTGTTGATATCTGGGTAGAGTTCCACACCTTTTTCCATCTGAGCTTTGTCCATTGCTCGTTTTGTTCTCCTAACGTCCCTTTTGAACTTCCTCTTAGCACGCTCCTCCCGTAAATCATCTTGTTCCTGAAGTCTTTCGAGTTCTAGTGCTAACTTACTACGGGCCTTCACTGGAGGAGGTGATGTTACTAGGGGGTCTGGGTTACCCGTCCGTATATTTTCCTCTGTCTCAACATGTTGTTGTGTCTTTTTCAGCGTTTTCAGTGGTTAGATCTTCATTTATGACACCAGGTTGTGTGTGGTGACTGGCTATTTCCACTATCTCTTCCTTTTGTGTTGTGCTTTGTGTATGTTCGTTTTGCGTTGACGAAACCGAGTCGATGCCGACACTGTCTTTGTTGTCGATTTTGTCGTCCTCCACACCTGTTGTATCTGTTTTCTCCTCTTCATTTTCCAAGACACTAGACTCAGTCGAGGTCGTGAACCCACTGAGCTGTGTGATCAAGAAGTGCCGTTGGGCTCCGGTATTTACGTCTAGAATGTCACGCTGACTGGACGACTGGTCATTCTCATCCATGTTTCCAACTGAATGTTAACAATACTGATAGTCATTTGTTAATATGATACAGTATTATGGTATTTTCAATACATTTTAACGACCTATCAAT